CTCTCTCCCATTTGAAATTCGCTTCCATAGAATTGGGCACCATTGCCCGTTTGGCCTTGCGAACTAAAATAAAAATCAACAACAACAACAACAACAACAACAACAACAGAGAGGGACACCGAAAGGACCGAGAGGGACAGACAGAGTGTAGAGAGAAAGGGAGAAAGGGGAGAAGATGAGAGTCACCAGATCACTTCCCGTAAAGCGACAGAACTGCCTGATCAAGAATGAGTTTACTTTTCGACCGTACTGGTGTCCTTTCGAAAGAAACTTTCTGTCGAAAGATAGAGAGAAAAAGAAAGAGACGGAAAGGCAGAAAGACAGGCAATCGTAGATAGTTGACCAATGGTTAGAATGGTTGCGATGAAACAATTCAAACAAAAAGAGAATGTGCCGGACCACCGGATCATTACCTGACTGTACCAGTACGAGTACACTTACTACCACTACCACAACCCTCCCCTCCCTTCTCCCTCCTCTTCTCCGCCCCTGCCAACATTTTTATTGTTCATGTGGTCACCATGATTACAGCTAGCCACAGACTGTCACTGTCAGTGCATGCAGTGCACCACGAATCGCAGACCTGGCACTACTTTTTCAGGCAGTCCGGATCATCATGATCATGACTCTTGTCCCAGTTTGCACTGCTCTTCTGGCCACAGCCTAGGTCGTCGGAACAGGAAAAAGCCCATGGCATGAAGTATCGAGCCAAGCAAGCGCGTGACCTGGCTGGTGATGTAGAGCCAAGTCCGTGATCGACGTCCTGGTCGAGTTCTCGCTGACTGGACGTCCAGTCAGCGAGAACTCGACCAGTCGAGGATAGTATAGATAGCATTAGTTATACTGAGCTTGTATACAAACTCCCATCTCTCCCCACACAACACTCCAGACTTGTATTTTGCATAAACAGGTACTTCGATGACGAGAATATAAACTGGTATATAAACTGGTGTATAAACTGGTATATAAACTCCTTTTTTTTTAGGATCACACTAGGGGAGTTTGTATATCAGCTCAGTATAAGCATAATATAACTTATCGCACCCCACGTGAGTGTTTCCATGGTTTGAGCCAATCAGCGGCCTTACTGAGCGTGCAATATTCCCCAGTACACCGCCAGCCAATGTGGATGCACTGCAGTGCGATATTGCACCCCGGCGAGTGAGCGTGCAAATAACCTATATTTGCACGCTCACTTCGAAGCGAGCGTGCAAATATAGGTTATTTGCACGCTCGCTTCGAAGTGAGCGTGCAGATATAGGTTATTTGCACGCTCACTCGCCGGGGTGCAATATCGCACTGCACTCTGCAGTGCATCCACATAGTCATTGGCTGTACGAGTACTGGGAATATTGGGAGTCGCTCCGCCAGGCCAGGGAGTCGCTGCTGACTTGCTGCAGCACACCAAAATAATGGTCGAAGACGCTGTCGATGTCGCGGAAGCGAATGTGGACCCGGCTTGCGTCCGCCAAGTCAACTACTTCACAAGCTCCGTGAGAGTCGAGACAGCGGACGCCCAAGTATTGGAGAAGACTGTCGACAGCCGATTTGAGAAACTGTCCGACGCCGCCATCGAACAGCCTCGTTTCTGAGCAGAAAAACAAAAACACAGAGCAGGCAACTGACAAATGGCTCCGCTTATTCGACGAGTATTGTAAAGACACAGGACGTCGCTGTGACCTGACTACGGTTACGGCAAGCGACCTAGCTTACATTCTGCGACATGCATAGATCTACGTCGAATTGCGTCCGAAGAAAGCTGGAGTGAAGTTCTACTCTGCATCAAACTTGCTCGGTTTCCGTTCCGCAATACATCGCAAGCTAGTCGAGTTGAAGCGGCCCATGAACGTCCACAGTGACCCAGCGTTCAAGGACGCAAACATTGCATTGAAGGCCTTCCTCATGATTCATGAAGCCAAAGAAAGCGGGAGAAGTCAAAGCGGTGGAGCACAAACACCCCATCAACGACGACGACATGAGCAAGCTGTCCCGCTACTTCCAGGATCTCCCCTGATCATGGTGATAGACAGCAGCTACTCGAAAGAAGTGTTCCTCTAAAAATGAACGTGACTGGTTGTGCTGTGTTGTATGACTGTGAAATGATAGCAGGGTTGCATGCAGCATGCTACTTGCTAGGGTTGCATGCACCAGACTGTGTCAAGTGTGTGGTGACAGACTGTGTGGTGGCAGGGGTGCGATAAATGTATTACTGCACTCGGACGCGTGCAATACCGGCGTCGATATCTGCACTTACGGCTTCGCCGTTCGTGCAGATATCGGCCGGTATTGCACTGGTCCTTGTGCAGTAATACATACCTACTCAGTTGAATATGGGAAATATAAACCAATAATACAAACCTCGGCTTCGCCTCGGTTTGTATACAGGTTTATATTTCCCATATAATCAACTGGTTAGGTTATATTATATACTTATAGGCGAGCCGAGGACTTTCGAGTTCAATGACATGAATCATAAAAAATTATGTATTCGACGACTATTCGTGTTGCTAGCTTGCTTTCTGTTTTTGGAAGCAAAACGCTCTTTTCAGAATCACTCACTTACTTTTCGCTGAACGTTTCCTGAAGTAAATAATTAGTTCAACACAGACCACCCAGCTTTCTTGTGTGCTGATTGATAAGGCAAACATAGTTTACAAGTGGATCGTCCCATTGGAGGAAAGTACGGTGGTCACGTTGAGCTGACAGAAAGCACCCCGAAACGCAGCTGAAAACAACGGCGAAAGTGTGTGCGTTTAGTTTCTGCCGGAAGGTTTGTCCAGATTCGGATCGGCGCGCTTTCCGCCAGTAGTGCGTGGGGCACCGTCAATGGCGTCATTGCTTCCCCTATCCGTCCGCTGGAGGTAGATCCCACCACTGCATGCTAGCGTTTCCGAAGCACCGCTTTCCAGGCACTCGGGGATCGCAAGCCGGGTCGCAGCGGGCACCAGCTGAGTGATAGCCCTCTTCCGATATCTTGAGTGAGCTGACGAGTATCCTCAGCTGGTCGTGGTGCCGTGGCGCATGTAGAGTTCAGAAGGAAAGGAGGCGACGTCAAAATCATTCCTACCTCTGGCACGAGAAATTGGTACAGAAGAGCCTCCGGAATACAGCGGTCGCGACGGAATTGTCCACTGAATGGACTCGCCGCAAATGGAGCAGACACCGGAGTGACAGTAGCACTGAACCAGGCGTCCACCACCACCTGCAGCGTGCTAGCGTCCCAGGGAGTGGAGGAAGGTTAGCACGGTCGCACCGTGACCAGTGCCGGTGAAACAGTCTGGAGAATGGCCTCTCCACACCACCAGCCTCAGGAGCGAAAGCCGGCTCGGCCTCCTTCGGTAAGTCGGACTCATACACACAAAGTACATCTACACCAAAATGTACCCGCATTTTAGTGCTGAGCAGCTCAGGCGATTTTCACACTACAGGCAGACCAGGTAGACTAGTTCATACTGATGCGTGCACACGTGCGTAACGTTTGTCGTGCTGTGCTTGAGCTGATAGTAATCCTCTAGTGATACTTGTAGCAGGAAAAATGATTCCGAATTTTGAGCAGCCAATAATAATGACTATCCTATCAAACTACTCTGGCTGGCTTGCATGTGCGCAGCGGCACAGTTTTACTATGAAGGAAAGTATCCGCAAAGTAGAAGACAGATCAAGTGGAGCTGGATCATGAGGACACAGCGTGCCGGAAATTATCACAAGGAAAAATCCGAACCTCCAGCAATCACACGAGTTTACCTTCCGCTAGCCTACATGATTGTACATGATATATCTTCGCATGGACACACGCACACACATCTACATATAATACCACTTTCATTGTAGAGAGTGATATGGAGCAATGAAAAGTGCCCCCCCCCCCCCCCACATACGAGGCCACGGTCGAGTCATGCATTCTACGGCGTGTAAAAGGCGTTACCATGGATTGGGGGGGGGGGAGGACACGATTTCGTGAACTGTTACACAGCTACATTTTTCAAGTAACATAGTTTCTGCAGATCCTCTACCCTTGACACTGGCACAGGGTACATGAAACTGTAGATCTAGGCTCTTAGGCGTGTGTAGGGCGTTCCCGAACTCGGCACTCCACCACTCACCAGGGCAGCACTTGTCATTGAGTTTGACCCTGTTGACACTGGGCGGTTAGTGCGTACATCATGTACACATATTATGCAGTTACTGAGTTAGAGCGACTACCCAGACCCAGTCTGCGGGTCTGCAGTCTGTGTGTGCATGCTACTACTTCAGAAGTACATGACCAGTGCTGGCAACTGAAATCAGACCCCTGAGCGGTGCGTTCACATTCTAGAGGTCTCTATGAAATTTTCGTAGTTTTACAATCCCGTGTTGGGTCTTTGCAATGCGAGCACACCGCTCAGTGGGTTGGATTTCAGTTTCCAGCACTGTAGCACTTCCCATATCCCTATCAGTATGACATCACCGTAATTATGCTATCTACATGTATTGACACCTTTGTATCATCCTACTCCGTCCATATAATGATGGTAGCTTTGTGGTAATGACTATATTCAGTTTATGATACAGTAAAAGCACGATCATGTGACTAGTTTGGCCATCCAGCTATGAGGTCCTAGCTGCTCACACTGTAGACTTGCTCAGAGCACAGTGCAGTGCTTCCATAATTATACATACCTGTCTCAGTGCACTGGTGGCCATGGGCTGGCCAGTTGCCATTGTAACGTTAGATTGGCATGGATGCCGATGTGTAGACCAGCGGTAGGGGACCACTGCTGAACTGCATGCCGCAGTGGCCAGGTGTGTGTTGAAGAAAAAACCCGGACCACTGTACATACACACCTATTGCTCATTACTTCTTTTACAGATTTGGTATTATGGAAAGTTTGTAAACCCCCTCGATAGGCGAAAGCCTTTGGGGAATCCTTAAACAATAACAAATTACAAATTACACCATGCTGTGTTATGTGCCTTGCTTAGCACTTTGAGCCCGGCAACTGTTCCCCAGGTCATGGTAGACTTATTTCAGCACTTGATGATGGCCAAACTAGTACATTGGCCATATAACTAGGCTCAAAATAATGCTTTTGTCCAACACTATGGCATCAGTAGTGCAAGTCATTCCCAGTAACATCCTAGACATGTTACTTATAGTTAGTGAAGTACCTCGACTGCCAAGACTCTCAGTCACCCAGGTATTCGTCTGTGGGATACTGCATGGCAAGCTTATATTAGCCTTTATCTTCTGAACTAAAGTGCTTGGGATATGATGTTGATGGGAATGTCAAGTGATTGCCTGGTCAGGGCGGGCATGTGCATGCTGCATGCAGTACAGGGTATGAAGTGCCCTTATTAGCTGTGGTACTCCATCTGCCCAAGTGAAATGCCATCCTCAGTTCAATGCATTGTCTGTCCACGCTAGGCCCGGAAGTTGGCCCTCTGTCCCACATTCATACTACTACCAGTACCAGTACTAGCATGCCCACAAACCAGGGTGTGTAGTACTGTGTACTGTACTGAACTAGTATTATCCGCCTGAGATATGGCCATACATTGTCAAAATGGCCAGGGAAAATCCCTTCTGGATGGCTGGCCTTGAGTGGGTTTACATAGGGGGCTTACCCAATCAGGCTAAGCTTGGCTAGACTTGGGATGTGCACAAGAGAAGCCTTACTTAGGCTCTTAGTTAGTAACTTAGTACAAATATTTCAAGGAGTATTTCAGGCTAGTATCTAAAAATAGTCTCAGCTTCTAATGAATCCCAGCGCAAGTTGCTATGTCTAACATAGTTGTTCGCTATCATCGCTTCCGCGATGGGCAGGTCTGAGGTTTGAGGTGTATGTGTGTCTGTATTTCTGTGTGTGTCTGTATGTGTATGTGTGTGTGTGTGTGTGTGTGTGTGTGTGTGTGTGTGTGTGTGTGTTCGTCCGTTTGTGTCTGTGTCTGTCTGTGTCTGTCTGTGTCAATGTTCATACCTCTGTAGACTATCTCCGTGTCCGGTGTCGGCCATAGTGGCTACTTATGGCTCACAAAGAAATCAGGTATGTGTGCAGTCAAAGTGTATACACGCACAGCTAACCGATCACCTGTTAGGCTGTTAGGCTTCCTTGCCCACCTGCACGATACTGATTGAGTGGATGGCGGCTATGATACCGTGGGCCCATCACTATAAATCTACTCCTGGGAAGTCTTCTAGTCAGACCCCTATGCAAGGAACCTGCACTTCTTTAATCCTTGCCTATAATGGCTACAGCTGCTGAAATCAGTGATCTGTCCACGTCCCCATACATGTAGATTATCTCCAACATTTTCAGAACCAGTATGTAGTGAATTGAAACATTTTTCAATATGATTCTGAGAAAATAAATTAGCTTCGACTTGACTGCTACTAGTAATCCCTCAATCTCGGTGTGTCAGTATAATTATATGCTTTTTTGCCATTGTGCTTGGTACAGGAAAGCTGAAGTTGCGAAAGACAAAGACGAAGTTATGGTAAGTAGATGCCGGTGCGGGAAGGTACAGACCGTTTTGAAGGCGCAGTGAGAGCAAATGTAGGAGGATGTGTGTGTGTGTGGGGGGGGGGGGAGAGGAGGGGTAGGGCAACTGCTTTTCAACGTATTTTCAAGCACAATGATGCACCACTAGTGAGCATCGGGACCGCTAAAACAACAGGTCACTCGTCATGTTTGTGCGTGCCCAGTACTGATTTACTAGGCTTGAATAAGTTCGGGATACAGGTTTGCCCGGCATGCCGTTCAGGTTGGATACCCAAATGCATTATAACATTGCAAGATTACAGATTCACATCCTGCCTGTTATAACGATATAACGGTATTTTGTTTTTGGAAGAGGGCCATTAAGGGGTCGTGCTTTGTTTACTTTGTATGGACGGTGTGGCACGTGTGTGGCATGTGTTGACTTTACTATTTCCACAGGTTTGTGTTCGACGTTCCCAGTTGCAAGTTGATGTTCTCGAGGAGTCCGCAGGAGGCGGTGGCCCAACCGACAAAGTACGCCCATTGCCGCCACTGTGCAGCTGTTCAAACTAGCCGTGATATACTAGTACATGTAGTCGCATGCTGAAGCGGCAGCGCTGTGCAGTAGCCGGTACTATTTGAGCCTCGGCGATTTGAATCCTCGTGACGTGGAAATCCTAGGAATGTGTAGGAATGCATTGTTAATAAGGTCTGCAGGCCCGCTGCTCCGTGTTCACCAAAGCCTATGTGGGTGTCAAGATACTAATCTTACAGGGCACTGCATTTTAAAATCCTCCCATTCCTCACTACTTGTACTATGCTGGAGTCTATGGTGACGTCTTCTGAGCTGATAATCTTGTGTTTGTTTGATGCCCCCAACAGGCTGCATGTATCTGTGTGGTGCTGGAAAAATTGACTGCTGCACCACAGCCCACACTAACACAGCTCTAACATTACAATAAATATTATGATATGCCGTCAGCGTTGTGAATAACCACCCCTGATCGTGCATGCGAAATGTGTCGTTATTTGCGAGCCGTCATTATTCGTGAGGTTGAACTACATATTTTGTCATTTGATCATTAGGTCTGAAGTTTGTGTCATTATTTGCGAGTTGTTGTTATACCCAAGACGGCTGTTCACGAGGTTGACTGTGTGTTCATACATTGTACGACATGACATTCTTTTCCTGGACTGGTTCTCTCGCTTCCAGCATAAATTCTCTGGACCTCATTGATTCGACGTTGATGTTCGGGCAAGACAAGAACCAGTTCATCATAAGGTAATGTGAGCAGATAGCAGCTTTTAATACACATGCAGATAGTCTGTGTCCCGGCATTGCTGGCTAGTTTAAACGAGCATATCTGGTGTGTTTGCTGGGATTATACAGCTAGATGCTGTACTCAGTCTATGGCTCAGATCAAATGACTGTCCATGCACCAGTATTGCGATATCACTAGCGTCCGCTGCAGGCACCGGGCTCTCTCGATCCATTCTTAGACTGTTTTGTAGGGTGAGCCATACATGTAGACATGGAGGACTTGCCAGGATGTCTGACCAACATGTCGATGGCCCCTGCTGTTCGCCGATGTGTTGATATGTTAGGTGGCAATCCCATGACAATGTACACTGAACATGTGCCAGTTAGTGCTATGTGCTGAATGGTACTACAGTAGTAAAATGTTCATGGAGTAGTTATATTACTACTGCAACACTAAACTGGTATATTCCCACTTGTGTTTGTTTGTCTGAACGCAGTGTCCAGGGCAGTGAGTTCCATCTGACGGCCGATAGCCACGACTCGATGATGAAGTGGATGAACACCCTGCAGGATTGCCGTGAGCTGCATCGCAAGCAGCTGGAAGACCTGGAGATTGAGCTGGTGTCGACGGTGTGCATGGATGTGCCAGGCACGGCAGAAGTAAGAGAGAGACACACAGTTTTGGTGTCGCATGCACTATTCTGTTTCGCCATTTTCATGCCGAGAATCTCTGATCCATCATTGCATGTGTGTGTGTGTGTGTGTGTGTGTGTGTGTGTGTGTGTGTGTGTGTGTGTGTGTGTGTTTGCGTGTGTGTGTGTTTGCGTGTGTGTGTGTTTGCGTGTGTGTGTGTGTGCGTGTGTGTGTGCATGTGTGTGTGTGTGTATACGTGTGTGTGTGTGTGTGTGTGTGTGTGTGTGCATGTGTGCACATGTGTTTCCCTGACAGGATCTTCTTCCTGGCACTCTACTCGGCGGAGATTCGGATCAAGAAGATGGCACCCACTCTGCTGGAGCTGCACGTAGCAGGTCCCCACGGCAGAGCATACCACAGGCAACCAAAGATGACAGACCTGATTCAGCCGAGCCTTTGTGTAAGACAGATATTTTTCATTGAATAAGTGACACCCTGATATCTACAGTCAACTTTGCCAATAGCGACTGCGGATATAACGACAATTCGCGAATAACGACAGCATTTCCATGCCCATAGCAAAGTCCCATCTAACTGTAATACATATAATGAGGCTTCGGGTATAAGGACACTTTGCGAATAAGGACACTTTTCTGATGCCCCGCCGAGGGTCGTTATACGCAAAGTTGACTGTAGCTCTTGGTCACTGATTGATGCAAAGAATTCCACGGGCAGTGTGATTTGTGTACTATTCGGGTAAATGGCTGCTCTTTTTGTTTTGCAAAGAAAGTTGCACTGCGTAAGGCATTGTTGTGCAATCGGGTATGTTCGTGTTGGCGTGTGTGTGTGTTTGTATGTCCCTGTGCATGTGTGCGTGTGTGCATGATGATTCTTCCAATTACAATCTATGCAGCATTGACAATTGGCTCACACGCTAGTGTGGTGCTGGACCCGCACGAGTTCCTGTCGGAACTGAACACGCACACCGCGGCAGTGGCTATACTGGAAAGCCCTAGTGAAGAGGTGATACCCAGACAGGACAGCCTTGAGCAGGGCGACCTGACACCCACGCTATCAAGCATTGCTACTCTGGAAGCGCTACCGGGGATGGCGCCTGACAGCATACAGGAAGAGGACGAAACTCAATGGGACTCCGGGAGTGAGAAGGCGTCCTGCAACTCGATTGTTTCCGACTCCTCCAGCGCCACGCGCACATCCTCCGGCGATGATGTTGACGTGGACGTTGCTATGGTGACCGTTGCCAGGGGAGCGCTGCGACCAGAGCCGATCAGCAGTGAGGTCCCGGAGGCCGATGATGCTCTGTCGTCGGACGAATGCCTGGTGCGGCCGGTGCATCGCACTGACTCCATGCAGTCTTTCCACAGGTAGGTAACACTGAACTCGGATGTAGAGCGTAACTTGTAGTTCCTTGACCCTTTTTTCTTTTCTGTAAGGCCACGCTTTGTTTTTTCTATGTTTCTCGTCGGCAAATTTTAACAAAAGGTATGCGGGCGGGCGGAAAAAAAACAAAAGCCAAGGAAAAAAACAAGAACAATTTCTACTGAAAACTGTATACATTTTACATATGCGTTTGCATGATTCATACAAGACACTGCGTATACCATGTATAGAGTAGTATATTGTACAATCATGTGGTCCCATACATGATTGCACTACTGTCTCTGTACTGACTCAGTGACTGTACATAGTCATTATCACATCAGCCCACGAATATCAGGCAAACTGCAACAATGAGAGTATAAAGTTTGATGAATACGAGATGGCGAAGAGAACATACATTTATCTGCTATCGCATCAACAAACGCTTTCCCACTCGTAATTTTTGGTTTTGTTACTTCAACGTTCCTGTGTCCGGTTATCAAACTCTTGTCTCGACGCTGCTCATCTTTTCCTCGCCATGCGTCCTTTGCTTGGATTTTCTGCCCACGTCATCGTTCCACAGACGCCAGTTGCCACGGAACTCGTCCGACTTACGGTATTCCTGGGACCCGCCAGGCTCAGCTATCAGGCAGTGAACAACTGAAAGCTTCGTCATGGCAGCCTTCATCGCAGAGAACGGACGGAGAGCGCTCCTTTGCTGTGGTGCAAACGTTTACGATTTTGATTGACGCATCTAGCTGCTGCAGTATCTGCAGCGTACATACATGTACATGTACGTAGTATGAACTTTTTTTTTCTTCCGAAATTTCTGAAAACCTACGCGGGCGATGACGAGAAACATAGAAAAAACAAAGTGTGGCCTAAGTAACAGTCGTTCCACAGGTAAGTACAGTGGAACCTCGTTAAGAAGAACACTGATAAGACAAACTTTTGCTTAAGAAGATCTAGAATTCCAAGCGCAATTGGATTCATCACTGTGTATTACCTGGGTAAGACATATGGATACGAAGAACTCCCGTTATTGCGAACAAATACCGTCGGTCCCTTGGTGTTTGTCCTAAAGAGGTTCCACTGTACATGCTTTTTTCATCTGTGCCTCGCACTGATTCCATGCAGTCGTTTCATACATGCTTATATCACCTGTACATGTACATTGTCTGAACCCTATTGTACTGGCTAGTTTAGTCCTCTGTGACTGTATCCACCTGAAGAAAACCGAGGCAAAGAAAATGCTCATGGAAACGTCGGTATGTTGCCTGCAAAGAGCCTGAAGCTTTCCTACTCCTTAGCCTGGACTGAGTGTTTGGTAATACAGTATGTTATCTATTCAGATATTTTCGTTCAGAAGAAAATTCATTTGAGCGAGCAAGATCTGGGTGACCTGTTGTTCTATTGCTGATGACTGCTGCAACTCCTGCTGCTGCTGCTGCTGCTACTCCTGCTGTTGCTGCTGCTGGTGGTTGTGCTGGTGAGTGGTGGTGGTGCTGCTGGTGCTGCTGCTACTTTTGCTGCTGGTGCTGCTGCTACTTTTGCTGCCGTTGCCGCTGCTACTTTTGCTGCCGTTGCTGCGTGCTCTAGTGGCTACACAATGTGGGAGCACTTCAACTGCCGCCAGTCTGAGGTGGGCCAGCACGATCTCGTGGTCATGGACGACGACGAGCCGACAAACACGAACGGCTTCTCCGTCAGCCAGTACGCGTCACGTCTCAACGAAGAGAGGAAAGGTGAGCACGCGCCGCATGTATAGGATAAGCACTACAGTAGCGGTAGCTACAGCCATGGCTAGTATGCTGGAGTACACAGCAGTGCAGAGCGATGTACACACAAGAGATGAGATAGAATACGGTCGGGTACCGAAGAACTGAGTGCCAAAGAACGGAGCACCAAAGAACGAACCGCCCGCTAGAATTTTACCAAGCACAGCATACCAATGTATACATGATGACTGCCATGTGCAGAGACTGTAATGGATGAAATTAAGTATGGTCTAGGCTACGCGGCTGACCCCGCAGTTCTTCGGCGACAGACAGAACTATAGTGGCTAGTAGTAGAAGCAGTGTACCAACGTGTGCCGACTAGCCAACCAGAAGCAAAGCACATGTCTTTACAAATGTATTATTATAAAAGCTGGTTGTTGGGAGATTTATTTATTTTATTTATTATTTATTAATTCAACATCTTATGGCTTCCGATGGCAGCCAAAACGGGAAGATGTGGGTGATAGCCAACCATGGTAAAAGAAGGAGAAGATTATATACATGAAAAAGGAAACAGCCGAAAAGCTATATTAACAGCTGGTTGTTGGGAGTTTGAGTACACATGTCCAATACATATTATTGAGCACTTCCATTCATTTCACTGTATAATGTGTCTGTATTTGGCATTGTGTGTTGACTGTGTTCGGCTCTTTCACATGATCAATCCTCCTCGTGTATGGCGAAGACCGGAGGGATTCAAAACAAGTGCAATCTCTGAAGGCATCCCTCCATCAGGTAAGACCTCATCAGTGACATGTCCCTGGGAAGGGTAGTAAGAAAGCAGTGCGGCATCGACATTCACAGAAATGCTGCAAGGAGCTACGTTGGTGTTTGAGCGTTTTCTCTACAAGCCAGTGCTAGCACTAGTATGTGTGTACTGTACACGCATGCGAATCCACACAGTCATCTACTGATTTAGCAAACGCACCAATGTGCAGGGGAACTCTGGTTTGCATGTCTGGGGCGATCGAGTATGTGGTGTTGCACACGTGCGTCACATTTAGCTGAATATACAGTAGGATAATTGAATCTTTCTGTCTTCTTGTGTTTGTGTGCATCATGTTCAACATGGTGTTTGCAGCTGGAGAGTGACTTGAGGTAAAGTACAAGTTTTGCACAGTGATGACAAGCTTCCTGAGGAGGGGTGAAGCTTACCAAGTGTTTCGTATTGGTAACAATCTGAGAAGAAAAAAACGTTGCTGATGATGGCACAGATTGTGTGAATATATTCAGACCAAAGAGAACGTCCATTATTACTACTGAAGCTGGCACTGAGCTACCTGATGCCACTCTTAATAACCTCCATTAGATTGTGAAGAAGCCACACAGGCACATTACAGGATGTGTTAGATCAGCACAGCACTGATCATGCTACCCCAGTACAGTAGAGTGGAACAGTATTCCGGCAGAGGGCTTGTCCTTAATTGAGCAGGTATCAACATGCGAACACATGCTTTGACTTGTCAAAGCCGCAGCTCAGGGCGAGTTCTCGGTTACGGTAGTGTCGGCATGTATTCTTTCTCATCTTGTCTCACAGAATGGCACTGAATCAGGTCTCGTTGCTAGAAAACCGAGAAGTAGCGTACAGAGAGAAACTGTCCAAGGTCGACGATAGCTCAACCACCAGCAAGGTTTGTTTGTTTCCTGTATTTGAATTTGCTTAGAGCACAGGCAATCCTGCCTTCTCACCGAAGGTTTCCCTCCAGTTCCTAAGAACGAAAGGAGCAGTATGCTAGTAACTACTTCTTTTTTGAAGTATAATCAAGGACTTCTCCGCCTAGTATTGCTGCTTGGTACCCTACATTTTTGGAAACAAGGGATTCTGTGCTTGGTACGGAGCGCAGGCGGATTTATTATTATTATTATTATTTATTATTATAGACAACACCTCATGGCATGAAAAGAAAATCAGCCAGTACGGGAGATGTGGGTGTTAACCAACCATGGTTTGGTCTTTGCCGTGCGTAGAAAATAGTGTGCACCAGAACATGTGCTGAGTGTATTGCAAACTTCACAGACTGCATTGCTGGGAGCGAACTAGTTGGACATTGACGTATGTAACGTAAATAGTGGCCAAGAGCACTGCTTGACTGTGAAACTCCTTCCCTGTCTCTTGTGTTTAGCCCTTACAGAAGAATCAACCTGATTCGGGGCCATCCCGTGCCAAGCAGATCACCATGAGAATACGGAGAAGGTGAGCAGGCACAGAGAATGTGTGTGGGCACAATGGTTTGTATGTGCGTGGACACAATGGTTTGTATATGTCTGTGGGCACACTTCGTACCCACATGATATGTGGGTAGAATTTAGAGATTTGTTTTTAGCATGTCCTCGCCACCATAATTTTTGAGCACAGGGTGAAGTGAGTTATCACAAATACAGAGGTTGTCCAGGTCCACAAACCTAGCACTGATTTATCCTAGCATGGAACGAAATGAGGTAGCAAGAAGCAATTAAAGTGGCAATTGCCCATGCCATAATGTTGCGTATTAAAGCCGGGCCTCTTCCTGTAGAAGCCGATGTCAGGGCTAGGCTTCTATTCAAACCAGGTATTTCTATGCATGTCAGTACTAAAACCAGGTTTATGTGCCGACAGTGAGTCTTGAAAATCAGGCTTGTATTCAAAACAGGCTTCTATATTATGAGATAGGCTTTAAAATACAAGGCACTAGGGTATATGGATGAAATCAGTACATAGGGTACTGCATTTATTCTTGCAGTTCGTCATTGTGGTGACTATTGTAATTGTTGTGTGTGCTCGTGTGCCTTCTGTTGTCCAGTGCGTCCACAGCATCCGACGTGCACACCAACAGGGAGAGAGAAAGTGAAGTCGAGGACCTGAAAGTAAGTATCATCGCCGTTTGAACTTTGAATGCAGACACACGGCTGAAGTACGAGCAGGCTTCTTGTTCAAACTCACCGGAAGCAGCTCACCGAAAGTTGATCAAACCAAGCATAGCGTTCCGCAGCATTTCCTGCCTAACAACACATTCCTATTTTGTTCACGATCTTACATAGTGTACAAAATACACTGGGTACTCTTTTCGCTTGCATCACTAGTTGTTGTCCTTTGCCTACATGTACTGTGTCTGATCGAGTGTTGTATCCTGTGTGTGTGTGTAGATGGCGGCGGATAGATACCATGAACAAAACATCGTGATGACAAAGGAGGTTGTTCAGCTTGTGGAGGCGCGGCGCGAGGAGCAGAAGAAATGCCAACAGTACACCGTGTACGTTGTCCTGCTCTGCACAACTTTGCATGTGCATGTGTTTAGCTGCTGCTGCTGCTGCTGCTGCTGCTGCTGCTGATGATGATGATGTGTGTGTGTGTGTGTGTGTGTACATGCAAGCTGTGTGCTGTGCGTTTGTGTGTATTATTTGAGGGTGTGTGTGTGTGTGTGTGTGTGTGTGTGTGTGTGTGTGTGTGTGTGTGTGTGTGTGTGTGTGTGTGTGTGTGTGTGTGTGTGTGTGTGCGTGCCTGCCTGCCTGCTGTGTGCAAGTGTATAAGTGGGTTGGTGAAATCATTTAGAAATACCTGATACACGTGATGTGGCTCCTAGCAAGCTGCACTAGTATATGGCTAGTGATATATCAATCGGTGTTATAACTTATACTGCGAGGTAGCTGCATGGTTTACCAAAACAAACGTGTTTTTTCAAATTCATCTTATCCAGGACTTGGCAATGCCAGTTTCAGGGAGCATTGACTGCATATCAATTTTTCTGCTTCCTCCCCATCCATACTCTACTTTGACAGGTTTTTTTGCTTCTCCGAGTCATAATTTCTCTCTTGCATGTGTCCACGTCTTTACACCTGCAGGCAGTGCAAGCTACTGTCACAGGACATGGTTCGTCTGAAGATCTCCTATGTGGACGTGCTGCAGGAGAGCTATCCGATTCGATTGAAGTCTGCACCAGGTCAGATTGTTCACTGAGCAGTTTGACATCACTGAGTACTGCTAGATCATGTGATTGATGCTTGCTTCTCTGCATGACTCGCACTGGACTAGAGGTGTTACTATTAGTTGAAAGTGGTTTCTCCACTGGGAATGTGCAGCATCATTGGTATAGGGACCCTGTTTGATTTGCTGAAGATCAGTGCGACTTGCGGCTAGCGCGGGGGGAAATGCATGTATTGTGTGTGCGTGCGTACGTGCATGCGCGCGCGTGTGTGTCAGTGTTTATCACGTCTACTGCGTGCAATTGACTTAGCGTGTCTATGTCTATAGCCGGACAGAGGCAACAATGGAATTTGCCAAGGTTTTCATTGCGTGCCTCTGTGTATGTCTATAACTGGTGGGGATGTGTCATGTGTGTGTGCAGGTGACCGGTGGGATGAGGACTCCGGCATAGATCCACTGGAGGCCAAGGTTTGTGCAGTGCCCTAGTATTGATGAGGTTCAAAGTTTATTAGGGACTGTTAGAGGGTATTTAAACCATACCGTATGATGCTCTGCAGAGTTCAGGATCTGCATTGCACAATAGTGCGTATATGTAGCTGTCAAAGAGTACTTGGTCCGGCTCATCGCAATTGTCGCTTATCTATCGCCACGAAGAACAGGAGTTTTGTTGCCGCTCTGTGAAATTTTCAATAGGCATAGTGAGGAAGCATGATACATGAATACTCTCCGCCACAAGAATAAAAATTCAGCCATGGAATCAGGTGAAGCGAGTCATAGAAGGGAAGCAAGGAAAGCAAAATGCACGAAATAAATCAGCGAAGGAGCGCGTTCTTGCTCTCGCACTCTTACAGGTCCAGAGTTCGTTCAACTCTCCATCACTCGAGCTGCCGCCGTTACATGAGCTGACATTAAATTGCTGGTGTCTAGCTGCTGGCTAGACTGGTAGAGTATCTCTTGCTTTGTCAGCCTGTCGTATAGCAGCAATGGGAAAGGAACAGTTGTGTCTGTCACTTCGGTGCTTGAAGGAACCCGTGGGCAGTGTGACCTGTGTGTCACCGCAGTGTGTTTCAACAGAGCCTTCGAATGAGGCATACAGGCCTCTTCAGACAGCTGTCATACGCTCTCGTTGGATACGCTGACCACGACTCTTGTAATGCTGCTGCCAGGTCCACGAAGGAACACAAGGAACAACCAAAACGTCCCTCGCATGCGCGCATCGCATCGAAAACACCTTTCTTCTTCAGCATGACGCTCATGCTCCTCTGCCGTGCACACGTGCCTGTCACGCTCTCCAGGATGTCAGTTGCCCCTGCTACAGTTCCGGTCTTCGGGTCGCTGCGCTTGGCGTTTGGCAACACAGACAGTGAATGGCCAGATTTCCACGTCCCAAAAAAGTCGAACACATCGCGATTCAAAGCGCTAGTCGCAATCATTTTTCTTTGGTGCCTCAATTGATCTTGCCATCACAACCTCCCAAGCAAAAGTAAGTTAGATATCGTGATTGGACTGGGTTTTACCTGTCAAAAGGTGCGTGGGAGATAAGCGACAATTGCGATGAGCCGGACCAAGTAGTACAATTACGATTGAGGGGGCTTTAAACTTTGATAAGGCCCTTGGCAGGAATGTTGCAGTACTAAGTCAAAGACAAGATTCCAGGATTGGATTTAGTAACAGATTAGAACTGAGGACGTTATTGCATGACCGATGGAGGGAGTAGCCTTAGTAGTTGTCCAGCTATTACTGTACATCGTTAGGCGCTGCATCTGCCGCTAGGGTTTACCGGGTGTTAGCGGCCGTCGTGAGTTCCCTTCTGGAACGGACACGATACTTGACTTCTTTATTACTGTACAGTGCACAACGTGTATGCCTGATGTGCCTATATTTGGTATATGTTTCTTCGTCACAGAATCAGCAACGAGTGTATGCGTTACTGGCAGAGTGTCATCGTTATGATAAGACCGTGCCTGTGTTCAACAAGTAAGCCGTGTGGAGAGGAAAGCTTTCATTGCTCATTTCCCGACAGCTATAGGCTATCAGTAGGGGGGGGGGGGGGGGGTAGCTAAGGCTGCAGGGCTCACTAATACAGTCAACTTCGCTAATAACGACTGTGGATATAACGACAATTCACGAATAACGACAGAATTTCGATGCCCAGAGCAAAGTCCCTTCCAACTGTAATACATATAATGAGACTTCGGGTATAACGACACTTCGCGAATAAGGACACTTTTTTGATGCCCCGCCGAGGGTCGTTATACGCAAAGTTGACCCTACATGTACTCAGGAGACGAGCCGGTTGAGCACAGCCAGATCAGTCACACTAGCGCAACCCTTGCTTGCGCACGCCTGTACTCCAGTGTTGTGAGTGACAGTGAGATTGTGTCTGCATGCGTGCCATTGTCTTTCATTATTCTTTTCGAGCTGGGTATGTGAACAAAGTTAAAAAGAAAAAGAAAAAAAAGGAGCATTGCTATCAGGTAGCATGGGATGTTCTCATGTACACGTAACAGCGGCGTACTAGTAGCTGGTCCACCTTGTTTTGGGAGTGGAGGGGGGGGGGGGGGGGGAGGTGCACCTCTGCCTTCACAACCGAATCACTGAACTGTGATCCCAGCCTAATTGGTCCACATGGCCAAAACGGGAAAGGACAGCATAATAGGCGGAGGTATGCTGTGGTTAACCCGCACGCAGCGCACCGCCAAAATGGGGAAAGGACAACGACAACCGTGACACATGCTGAACGAAGACCAGAAGATTTGAGGAGGTGAACATGCCCCTCCTGCCCTTCATAAGCCATGCGCCTCTGTACAACCATGTAGTTCGGACTTAACACGGGTATTGAAGCCATCTCCTGTCTCAGGATCGAATTGGGTCCAAGGTGGTAGTGGCAGCAAAGTATCCTTTTTACCATCTGTGTCATGTGATGTTACTGGCTGGGACATGCCTGCTGTTGCGGGTTCTTGACTGCTATCTTGGTGTGCCCATCTACCTGCAGATCCTTTCCGGGTGGCAAACACATTGAGGATTTTGGCTTCAGCCACACATGGGACGAGTACAACGTGGATATGCACTACTATCTGTGTGATCTATTGAAGAGACACTACAAACGGCAGCTACCTGTGAGTCACTGACACTACCTACTTATACTCCCCCCCCCCTCCTCTCTCTCTCTCTCTCTCTCTCTCTCTCTTTTCTCTCTCTCTCTCTCTCTCTCTCTCTCTCTCTCTCTCTCTCCCTCTCTCGCTCTCTCTCTCTCTCTCTCTCTCTCTCTCTCTCTCTCTCTCTCTCTCTCTCTCTCTCTCTCTCTCTCTCTCTTCTCTCTCTCTTTCTCTCTCTCTTCTCTCTCTCTCTCTCTCTCTCTCTCTCTCTCTCTCTCTCTCTCTCTCTCTCTCTCTCTCTCTCTCTCTCTCTCTTTCCATGGTGCGTTTGGCTGGCTATGAAGCCAAGACCCTGGGTTGACAGAACTCTCCGGACATCACCACAACTGCCTTGGTTTATGTCTGTATGCTTCTTGATGATGATGCACTGGGTGCTTTGCTGCTTCTATCTCCATCCTCCATTCACATCCATGTGTCTTCATGGCCTGTATCACGTGGCAAAGGGTGCAGCGTCTGGTCGGGAATCAGCGTCTGCTTCCTTGCGTCAATGAAAGTTTACTAGCTGTGCAAATGGCAACCATTCCGCCCCTTGTTGGCAGACCGGCCCCGGAACCATCCGCACATCCACTTCACTTTGGTCTTCTTGTCTTTGGGCATTACAACACATCAATATGTCAATTTTAGCTGACACAGCAAGCCATACGATTTGCACCTTCGCCCCCCACCCCTCCCCAGCATGTTATATTCACGATAAAAATGACATGTCCGTTGCTCTCTGTCATTTGGTCTCTTTGCAGGATTCAGTTGCGAAACGCCAGGACAAGAACTGGAAGACATTCTTGGCTGACAATCTATGGGACATGAACAAGATGGCGCAGAGATCTGTGAGCTTCGATAATGTCCATGCGACAAGATTCTGAATAGTACAGGCCTGACCAGTTCTCTTCAGAGCAGCAGAGTTCAGTGCAGTGTCTTATGCCGTAATCGAGTAGCATGCTCTTCTGCTGTATAATGTTTCCAACTGGCATTCTGGTGCTACCCCAAAGAACTGCTTGCATAAGAACGGTCTATTCGGAATATGTCTGCTTCGCTATGCTGGTAGTGGCCAGATGCAGCAAACAGGATTTTAGTCTTTGACCACTTTGGTCTTGTTTCGGATCTACCGTCACCTTCCCACTGCTTTAGGAGCTTCCTCTGTGCCTTTCCCGTTGAGGGTGGTGGCGTTCCTACGGATGCCAAGTCTCACACAAGCCGTGAATTTTTCTTCTGCTTTGTCTATGCTGTTAGAATGACCTGAAGAGCCTGATCATCAATGGCATCCCTCCCAAGCAGAGACCAAATGTTTGGAAGAGGTAAGCGTAAATAGAGGGTACAAGCCCTCTTCTGCTGGTGCTTTTTCTGCTCCCGTTCGGCATTGTGGAAAGTGGCAGCAGTCATAGATCACAAAAAACTTACAGCTTTGTGTGAATCTGATGATCACCATGGCTTGCTTCCAAACTTTCAGTTACTATGATGCCTCTGCGCCCAGTGGGATAGGAAGACTCCACTGAACGTGCTGGTGGCCAGTGTTTAAATTCATGGAGTTCTATTCGCACTTTGAAGATGGAGCCGGAGGCATTATCTATGTATCCGGCGTGTCTGTGTACTATGGCAACTGCATTCTCTCTCTCTCTCTCTCTCTCTCTCTCTCTCTCTCTCTCTCTCTCTCTCTCTCTCTCTCTCTCTCTCTCTCTCTCTCTCTCTCTCTCTCTCTCTCTCTCTCTCTCTCTCTCTCTCTCTCTCTCTCTCTCTCTCTCTCTCTCTCTCTCTCTCTCTCTCTCTCTCTCTCTCTCTCTCCCTCTCTGTCTCTCTCCCTCTATCTCTGTTTTCTGTCTCTCCTTGTCATCAGCTTGATCGGTTTGCGTCTGAAGAAGTACCGGGAAACCAAGGTAGGGGCATGGCTGCAGCTTCTCCCATACTGTGTCCTGGTCTGGCAAGGGGACATATCCTCTCTTCTGGCCTCTAGTATACGAGTCGTACACATAGCATATTGCAGCTGAGTCTTTAAGACATCTCACAGTGTCGTAGACTCTCCCTCTAGATCTACATGTGGACCATGGCATCACCTCGTTCAAACCTGCTCTCTGGGAATCACTTGGAATGTTCATACGGCACATATGTACTAGACAGTATGGTCGAGTCAATCTTTGTTGATACTGGGCAGGAAGGTTTTTAGATAGTCGGGCAATTTTTTCGATATGGACAGCCAATTTGTGCAGTGATTGTTTATGTCAGACTTGGTTGGAGTATCCAGTGTGTGTGTGTATGTCTGCGTGCCTGTGTGCGTGCGTGTGTGTGTGTGTCTGCGTGTGTGTGTGGTTCCGTACAGGGTCCCGGCTACTACAAGAGCTTACAGGGATACCAGGTATGCATTGGTTGACCCAAGGCACAGCCGCATGGGGTTTCATGTGTCCACACAGGCATGGGGTTTCATGTGTCGACATAGGCTGGTGGGGACGAAGCCCTCACTCTACTCATACTCTTCATCTTCTGTTCCTTTCTTTCTTCTTCATACACATTTAAAAAAAACCACTTCATCATATTGTGAGAGCCGTGGGCCAGTAGCCCCAGTGAGAAGGCAGTCTTGCCTGTTCATACGGTGAATTAAAATAAAGAAACAACAACTTCACGTTCTCTGTTGCATAATATAGCTAATACAAGTAGTTCACTGTTACAGTAAGTAGAACACCATGGCTGCTCTAGTGTTTCCTCAGTACATGTACTATACATGTAACTTGTACTGTAACACCTGGTGTAAGCCACCTCTGGGTTTAGCCACCACCAACTCTTAACGACCGTGTTTCCATGCCGGCACCGACAGTTCTACACAGACACTGTGGGACCTGGTTCTAAAGACCGCCTGGCTTTAACGACCGCTTCTCCTTGCACCGTGGGGTGGTCGCTTAAACCAGGTTTTACTGTACGTGTGTTTCCCACTTCTGCTCAGAACTCCCACTCTAGGCAGATCCAGGTGGATCTTCATCGAACGCTCACATCGCACATTGAATTTGTGCGCGGCTCCGAGATGGTAAGCCCAAAATATAATGTATATGTAGCCTGTACTGATCGGAGATGGAGGGAGTCTCACGGGGGGCTGTGTTTCAACAGCAAGGTTTGATAAGAAAGGAGACGGGACATCTGCACATGGATTGGAGGTAACAGCAACTGTCCACCACTGTTACTAGACACTGTACAATACGTTAGTTTCGGTGTTACTTAAATTTCGGTAATTTCGATAGAGAAACCAGGCGCCTAAATTCAGATTGCACAACATTTAGATTACACCTAAATGGCACTGGAGTGTGCACTGTAGGTGCAGGGAAAGGTGGTCACCTAATTCTACATTACACCTGAAACCTGGCAGGTCCCTGACACCGAAATTTTACTACACCTAAAATTGCATGTACCTCGTATCCATGTGTCCCTTCTCCTTTCTACATTTAATATCGGCTGAGTATCTGCCAAGTATGATTGGGTTGGTATTACTATCCGAAACAAGGAACTTGATGCATCTCTGGTAGCCTCATCTTCCTACCCAGATCTATGGGTACTTTCTCTTCGCTCTTAGCACTTCTATCGCGTGTTGTTGTCATTTGCACTTAGATTGCCAAGCTTCAGCGCATCTTGCTTGCGTACAGCATCCACAACCCTCTTGTTGGATATTGTCAGGTAGGCAGTGGCCGGAATAGGATCATGCGGGCCGCTATATTGTACAACAGTGGCATTGAAAGGCATTCCAGACGGGACTCAGGTGGTCCCGTCAACCATCAGCGTTGTACCTTTGAAGGAGTGTCCTTTGGCCCTTGCTGAACATTTTTTTTATCAATGCGGACAGAATGATTGCCTTTCATCAATTAACCGAATTCTTGGGATTAAAACAAGTGATGCAGTCAATACTATAGTGACGGTAGCATGTTCAACGCCCTGTTTAATTAAAACAACAGAGTGTTTACTAGTCCAGTGTATCTGCGCTATGGAATAGAATCACTTGAAATCGTTCCATACCCGTACATGATGAGCACATGAATCAGCTCGTGTGTTTCAGTACAGTTGAGTACTGGATGCTGCGGCACTGTGGCTGCTGGTGTTATCTCTCCCTCCGTCAGGCTCGTCTTGCTGGTCACTGGATGCTGTGTGTGGTCACGGTTAAGTGCTCTGTTGGACACGAGTAGTGGTTTTGGTGGTCTCCCTGCAGGGCATGAACATGCTGGTGGCGTTTGGACTGCTCATTCTGCAAGACGAAGAGGAGACGTTCTGGTAAGGCTGTTCGAATTGTCACAGGGATCGCTAAAATGTCTTATTGGCCAAGCACTCACGCATGGTGAGAATCACCGGCAACTATCAGAGCAGTCATGGCCTTGTCTCGGTGTTGTTCTTTTCGCAGGTTGATGGTGGCACTGGTGGAGCGCTACCTGCCCGAGCACTATTTCGACAAGAATCTCGTCGGTGCTCAGGCCGATCAGGTGAGCTGAGTGACTGTTCAGAGTGTGTGTGTGTGTGTGTGTGTGTGTGTGTGTGTGTGTGTGTGTGTGTGTGTGTGTGCTGTCGGCTTAAGTAGTGATTGTGTCCAGTGTTACGCATGGAAAAGGCCGCACCAACAGGATTGCATGGACAGGAGACCACTGACACGTTTTCTTACGAAAGAACATTGGTTTACCGAGAACTTGTGACTTGTCTTATCTCCACTTCATACGTGTTGTGAACAAAAGAAAGATTCTATGATCAGAGGAAGGAAGTTTTAGATCGGGTCCCAGGAAGCTGAAGTCTACTGCATTGTGTGTTACTTTGAGAATACAGTCAACTTCGCTAACAACGACTGCGGATATATCGACAATTCGCGAATAACGACAGAATTTCCATGCCCAGAGCAAAGTCCCATCCAACTGCAATACATAGAACAAGACTTCGGGTGTAATGACACTTCGCGAATAAGGAGACTTTTCTGATGCCCCGCCAAGGGTCGTTATAAGCGAAGTTGACTCTAGCTGGGTCATTCCCTTGTGGTATCCATACGTGTACAGTCCGTATCGCCTATAAGGTTGGCGGCTATAGTAATATACCGGATAAAATGATCAATTTCTCAAATTCATTTTCATTTGCCATAACTAAGTATACACAGTTATCGCGTATAGTAATAATCGTCTATAGTAATATTGAGCCCCGGCCAGCGAAAACCAGCACTTGTGTACTTGATATCAATCATCAAAATGTGACGTCAAAGTTTGGGACGCGCAGTGAGCTGGCTTTTGAAGATTCTTTTTCGATCGAGTGGGTGTCTTTGTTGTCAAAGGAGTTTCAAGTGTCTTCAAATGTCTCTGGTCAATTGATTTTAGCGCTAGGTGAGAGCTCGTCACACGGAGGTTGAGTTTAGACACAGCGATGGCGACAGGTGTCGCGACAAAGACTTAGGTCCATAGTTGTCAGCGTGAGACTCCCTGTACGAAGCGGCGCTGAAAGTTAGTTCGCGATCGGAATTATTTCTTTGGTGGCGATCTCGCTGAGTTTGTCCAGCAGTGGCGAGTCTAATATGCATAGCAACGAAGAGCCCTCATAAAATCGACACTGGATACTGGTGGCGACGATAGTCAGTGCTGGAGTAATAGCGACTGCAAGGAGAAGCTGAATGTCGACCCGCTGAGCGATCCGTATTTCTACATCGACAACAATGATGTTGCAGACGCTGATGGAGGGCTTCTCACGGTGCAAAACAGAGACTGCAAGCATAGTATTATCAGTACTCTACCTTGCCAGACGATGCCAAGCTGGCTGCTGCCTGTGCTGAGAAAGGGGATCCCTAAAAACTCAAACCAGCTGAACGCTTTGGGGCAACATCTTCACGTGCTACAAAACGCGAGTATTCGCTCATATCATTGAAATACAATTATGCTGAAATCATGGTGTGAGTGAAAGTGTGCAAGGGAGTGGATGTCAGTGGTATTGGTCAGTACATCTATCAGTATGGCAAGCTTTCAGACAACGCTCAAACTGCCAGCACAGAGGTCCCTGAACACAATTTGGAAGGCCAGCCACCAATCATCGTTTTGCACTCTGGTGTTGTAAGGAAGGTAGTGATGTATACGGAATATCGTCACACTTCTGAACTACTCATGCCTGCAGCACCTAGAGGGCAAGCCTGACTTGCATTCTATTTACTTACATGTACCTGTTCCACATCACAATCAGAAACTGTAGGATCAACTTGCATGGAGTCACTAGGCATGGATGCTGCGCCAACTGTACTGAATCTTGACCTGTGTGACTCCAAACTCTATTTTCCATGCTTTCGCTTATCAGATTGTCACCAAACTTGATAACTTGAATGATTAATAGTGTAGAAACAATTTCGAGGGAAAAAATAATTTTTGAAAAAATTACACATGTTCAGGTTTCTGCTGGCTGGGGCTCTATTATATTGGTGGTTTAGCGCGTGCGCAAGCCCTGTTAACGAACGTGGAACACCTACCACTCATACTTAGTCTGATGATCATGCATCTGATTATGATGTCATTGCTATACATGCGCATGCGCAGCGCGCGCCACTCTCCCACGCGTGCTTTCCAAATCTTGCTTTAGAGAGAGAGCAAGAGAAAAGAGAGACTCCTTTGTCACATTTGCTTTCCGACGACTTGACTGTTCACTGGTTTGTCCGTCAGTTGTCAATTTTCCCCTTCCCTCCCAACCCCATTCGACTGGGGATCACTATCTCTCCGTCACTGTCACCATAATTTCCTCAATAACAGTGTCAGTACAACTCTTGTCAATATACTTATATCGGGTGAGGGCAGTCTATCTCCGCAGCTGGCTCATTTCAATCACTACCGGTCGCAGCTCCTGCCCACGGCAGGCCGACCGTCTCTCGTTCACACTCTGTGTGCTCCAGGTCACAGCTCCTGCGCAGAGCAGGCCGACCTGTCTGTCTCTCTCTCTCACACACACTCTGTGTGCTCCAGGTCACAGCTCCTGCGCAGAGCAGGCCGACCTGTCTGTCTCTCTCTCTCACACACACTATGTGTGCACCGGGTCACAGCTCCTGCGCAGAGCAGGCCGACCTGTCTGTCTCTCTCTCTCACACACACTATGTGTGCACCGGGTCACAGCTCCAGCGCAGAGCAGGCCGACCTGTCTTTCTCATGCACGCCAGCTGCTCCGCCCAATATCCCTGATATGCCAACCAGAAAACAATGTGTTCTGAGCCGGGTGCATGCCTGTATGTGGAGAGTGCGTTAACGCCTATAGTGATCAAATTCATATTTCAAAAGACCTTTATTACATTATTTTGCATCGGTTATAGTGATTGATGTAAAAATCAAGCGATGTCAGAGGAGAACAGGGTGTTACTTCTTCATGAAGAACTTGTCCAGTGAGTGTTGTTTGGTGAGTTTTGCTCGTACAAGTTGCCAAAATATGCCTCCATCGTGAGGAAATTCTGATTTTCTGTGTAAGGAGCTACAGCCAGCTGAGTCGTTTGACACCCCACTCGCATACATCGCATGTAGTATCGGTCATAGTGATATTTCGCTTATTGTGATAAAATGGTCAAAATCAAACACCAACGCCATAGGCAATAGTGACTGTACATGTATACACATGTGTACGTGGGAATGGCATAATAATGGTGGACGTCGTTTGAAGACGTACAAACGGCTGCAGCGTTTAACATGTATTGCAGGTTGCCGAAGCTCTAAGCAGGTACAGGAACACAGTGTGGAAATCTTTGCATCAGGCTGCACCATGATTTGTTTCTACAAAATCCACATATCTTCAGACACTGGGGTGAATAATGGAGTTGTGGTGGGGCCCATTGAGCTCAGCTGACCAGAGATCTCGGCTTCATAGCTCCATGGACGCGATGACATCCATTCATGATTGGGATTGGGTTGTTTGTGGTACCTGCCCCCCCCCCCCTCCCAATTGCAGCTGCTGATGAAAGAGCTCCTGGAAGAGAAGCTCCCGATGTTATCACAACACCTGGACTTCTATGGCATTGATGTTGCCATGGTGACGTTCAACTGGTGTCTGACTGTGTTTGTGGACGCCGTGCCAACGGAGGTGAGTGGTGACATTATGCTAGAGTGAAACCTGTCTAAGACGACCGCTCTAGGGACCTTCAAAACGTGGTCTCTATTACCAGGTGGTCTTCTTATCCAGGGTCATTTGACTGGAAATAGCATCCCTTGGTTCTGGTTCCAGTGGTTACCTTACCCGAGTGGTCACCTTATCCGAGTGGTTGCCTCGACAGGTTTTGCTTTAGTTATATTTTGTACATGTAGGTAGTGTGTAGAAGTCAAATTTGTGTTGGTTGATTATGACCCCAGTGGGTCACCGGTCAGTTTGAAAACGGCAGAGCTTAATTTTCTATTCACACGAGTGGGGGAATTTCTTTAACCTCAGCCACACACCAACGCGTATAGCCGATTGGTTTGTGGGTTTGCCTGGCAATCATGAGTTTCCGAGTTCAAAACCTGTGCTGGTAACAGGGAGTGTGTTTAGTGCTCTCTCAATCGCGTTGATGCGGGCGAGTACCACTTTACATGCAATGAACTGTGCCGACACCCACGGTGAACTGGGTACTCACTTGCTCGGTGTGAGGGTAACAAGGATGCGGTGTATGGGGTTATAGGGCCTTTACACGCCCGCTTGTTGAGAGACCTATTCCCTCTCCCCTGACTCACTTGTGAGGTCTGCATTCGACACTGAGGATATATTGGCGAAGTGGTGGCCCGCCGATGTGAATGTATTTGCTTGATGTGTTCCTAAACACGTCAGGTGATGCGGCCGCCAATCCGGCTAACTTTACTTTACACACATGTGTGTGGCTAAGATGACTGGTACCTTTGTACACTGTCTGTTGCTTCTGTCTGACTGCCTCGCCACTACTGCAGACGTTGCTACGGATATGGGACTGTTTGCTGTTCGAGGGAAGCCGCGTAAGTCTCCTAAGTTAACCTCGGGTTATTTTCGACTCTTGATTCCTTCATGCCCTTTACTTTCTTTTTACTGTCTCAGATAGTTGCCGCGGTTGGCTATCACCCTTCATTTCACATTCATTTGTCATTGGCAGTCGTTTGACGAGCCAGGAAATGTTGAATAAATAATACAAATACAAGTTGACAGTGACACACACAGTTACACACCTCCATCTCATAATGGTGTTCTGTCTTTTTGGTGACTGGTGGTAGTCATGGTGACATGGAGCGTGTACTTGAAAAAACCCAGCAATCAGCTTACATGAATAATGTGACCATCAGTACTGGGCAAGACCACTTCAAGTCAATTTTGCAAATCAAGCCCGAACTGGTGGAACTCTCTGATCTTATGTGCATTTCTCTCTTTTGGTTTGCAGGTCCTATTTCGCTTCTCGCTGGCCATCCTGCAATGGCACGCCCCACGTCTTCAGCGGATCCATGACCCGATTACACTCTTCCAGCATCTGAAGCTGATGGCCAAACTAGCGTATGGAGAGGATGAACTGACAAAGGTACGCCGACAATGCAACTGCTTCCTAAAGAATACAGGATAGTGAGAATGCCTGCTATTGGACATTCAGTGCCAGGGTAACACATTTTGTGTCTTCTTGTGGGCCAAGAATGCAGATATATGTAATTATGTAGACTGTGTATGCAGGCTCGAATGCAGTCAATTGATTTAATAAGTAATCCGTTTCCGTGTGTGTGTGTGTGTGTGTGTGTGTGTGCGCGCGCGCACGTGTGCGTGTGTGCATGCGTGTGTTCAAGCTCGTGTGTGTTTGCATGTGTGTATTTGTGTATGTATGTCTGTATGTATGCGCGCGTGTGTTTGTATATGTGTATGTATATGTGTGTATGTAATTCTGGGTTCAGATTGCGTACATTGCCATGCACCCGTTTGCAGCACGCAAACACCTGTCTGCACGACGCGAGCACTTCATGGCCATCAAGCAGGCATCCATCGATGAAGATGACGCCGCCAGGGTCCGCCAGAAACGAGAACAGGCACCTGTGGTAGGGATGCAACTTGCAACATAAGATCATGTGTCTTTTTTGGAGCCGGGAGGGGGGGGGGGGGGGGGGGTAAGGGTGCGCACCCCATGTCCAGCAGTGCATGCCTGAACACCGTTGGGCGGCCGTGTATGGGCACATACCAGCCACTGAATCAGTGTGGGATGGTTCTAGAAGACCTGGACGACCCAGACGTTCCCTAAAGCATGAACAGGTGCTGTGGGCAGCTCCAATTCATTTATTGTCGTTGTTTTGTTGGCAATAGCATGCATAATGACATCGCATGTTGCACATACATGTACTGTCTATGGAGCACACATATCCAGCCTACAACGCTAAATGGTTAGTCACAATGTGTATGCTGGCAGTTTGGTAAAAAAATGAAGTAAATTATCGTGTCCGTTCCCGAAGGGAATTCACGGCGGTCGCTAACACCCGATAAACCCGTGCTGCTACCCACAGTCAACTGGGAACTTGTGACCAGGCGCAAGGGGTACATGGATGCAGCTAATGGGGTCGTTTTCGGCACTTGTGCCAGTGGTTGTGAGACTTATCCACTCACCCCCACCGTTAGGCGCTGCATCTGCCGCTAGGGTTTATCGGGCAGTTTGGTCATGTGACTAAATCTCACCTACATGTACAATCGTGTGCCCTACAACATGACGACAGGAGCATATGCATTGCCTTAAGTGTATTGTGGCTACTTGTTTTGCCGCTCTGCAGGCGTTCAAGTCACCCATGCAGCGTGGGTCCAATCGACCGTCGGACGTGTCCAAGAGAGTCACGGTGTGGGAGTGTGCCGCACTGGAATCTCCTGGTGAGGCACCGGGGTGTCCGACACCCGAAACTGCACTGCATCATTCGCATCTCCGGCATGCTTTAGGCTTGGGTCGGTGTGACCGTGTCTATCCAGACAACCTGTCGGCTGAATGTAGCGCCCATTACCGAGACTATCACCCTGCTCAGTTGCCGGTTGCATTCAGTCTTTGAGTCACAATGAATTTATATATGTAGGAAGGTATTTCCGATGCACTCCAAGCTGGTCTACATTTATAGTACATGACTGTATGTCACATCCTCCAAGTGTGCACCGCCAGCTCCAACATGATAACAGTCAATACAATGTCATGTTTGTAACATAGCAAAATTCCACTGCCATCCCCGTTCTTTAACATTTCTGAGGAACAAAAATTAATTGTTTCTGGCCCGGTCCGCTTTTGACTAAACGTGTTTTTTTCTCGCTGCGTTCTCAGATCTGCTGTGGCTGTGCGAAGGAGACCGAGAGGCCGGCTATGTGTCGATCCTGCGCCCATCCACTGCTCAAGCCTCCCTCATCGAATGTGACGTAAGGAGAAGGGGGATGTACATGTATATCATTCGGTACAGTGAAACACTTCAGTATTAGTGTTCTAGTACTCTGGGCACAACACACACTGATGTCAGCATAACCTACTCTGGATATAACAAACGGTTTCTCTTTGCATTGGATAGGAAGTGCTTGTAACAACTCTGAGTATCCATTTCCAGTCATTTGACATTGGATAATGAGTATGTGTGGGATATAAAGTATAGATTTCGGATCCCCTGGAGAGAGGTTATACTGAAGTTTCAATGTGTAGTCCTGGATTGACTCTGAGTATTTGGTACAGTGGCTATCATCTTGTCAAGTTTCTTCGCCAAAAAAGCCTCTCTCTCTGCCCTTAGAGCCCTCTCCAGGATTCCAATGGTCAAATAGCCAAGCAAAGCCTGCTGCACAGTTGTTTGTGCAAAGTGCATTTTCAGGTGTTCAGTGAGCTGTCGTACATGTAAGCTTACCATGCATTTGTGTCTGGTAAGCTGCAGAGCCGCCTTGCTAAGTCAGTACATTGTTAGTATTACTCCGAGTGCGGCGTGTCCATGTTCTCTCACCTCGTTGCAGTTACAGTCGCGTATCATGTCCATATGCAAGCTACAGGACCGGCACATGCTACTGGGCACATTGCTGGGAACACTGACTGCCTTCCTGTCTAACACTGGGTAAGATGATCTCCTGTGTAGATCACTCGATGAAAGAGTCTTCAGTGTAGCCTGTCTTAGGTGACCTGTCTTATGTGACCTGTCTTATGTGGCCACAGCCGGTCGCAAATGACAAGTGGTCTTTCTTTGCAGGTCTAATGTGTGATGTAGAACTATTATTGTCTGATCTCTAAATAGAAGCGGTCTGTTCGTCCTGTCATCAGTTTTAGCGTAAGCAGTGAAACAGGATCACCCTTGAGTGAGTGTCAGGATTTAGTGATGCTTCACAGCCCTCTCTGGCCAATATTATAGTAAAACCTGTACAAACGACCACCCCTTGGGGCCGGAGAAAGCGGTCTTTAGTGGCAGGTGGTCCTTAGTTAGAGGTTTGCACCGCACAACCATATGTGAATGTGAGACCGTCCGTGCCTGGCGAAGTGGCTTATAGTACCAGGCTGGTCGCTAGTCACGGTGGTCTTTAGTTACCGTTTTTTTCTGTATTTACATGCATGTGTGTGTTTTGCAGGTGCGAGTTGTTCACCATACAACTGAAAGACTCTGTTCTCTCTCTGGCTTCGATGAAAGACGGCAAGACGTTTGCCGGACTGGCAGATGGAACACTGGTTGTGTTTGAGGTGAGGAAATCAAGTTTGATAGTCAGTTATAGGCTAGAAACCAAGAGTACGTAACCCCCTCCCCCCCCCCCCCCCCCCCCCCCCAAGAGTTTACTTCTCCTGTCTATGGGGTCTGCGGCGGCGGCAGAACTTCACATCACGTGAAAACATGTCCATGCTATTTGCATGCTGTGGATGCTGGTCATGCCAGTGCCTAATCCTGTTTTCGGTAATCACTTTGCAAGGCTGTTTACCAGCGTGTACCCTATTGAGCCATGCGGCATGGTAATGTCTGAAGCATTCATAAAAGCGAGGGTCCCTGGTTCGATTCCTGGTGGTGACAGTCAATTTTTTTCTTTAGACTTTTCCCGTTTGCGCCTTTCCCTCAAACCAGTGAACATTCATACTTTACAAGTAATTAAAGTTGCTAATCACTTGCAAACATGCTGGACACAAGTTTGCAATGAAGCAAGCCTGCCCCTTTGCTGTAACTCTGAGTGTTATGGCAATTTGGTCAATCTTCAGATTGAAGATTGACCAAATTGCCATAAAAACAGCCATGAAACAGCCATAGAACTCAGCGTTACAGCAAAAGGATAGCCCTGTTCCATTCCAACCTTGTGTCACGTATCATGCCACTGTGGAACTGCAGAAATTCACGGCACAGGCAATATCGCGCGAGGTCCCAATCCAGTCTGGCGTGTCCATCACCTCGTTGCTGCTGGTCAACACGGAGGAGCGCGGCTTGGAGCAATCAATGTACACACCGCGTGTGCGTCGGCGCACAACGGCCAGCAACTATTCCGACTCCACAGACCTGGAGCAGACGACGGAGGAAGACGACAACGGGGTGCCTGAAAACGCTAAGGATGCGTCTGAAATCACCAAGGATGATACCTCGGACGTGCCGCAACAACCTGAGAACGGTGGTGGTGATGAAGTAGAGGGAGACGGTGGCGGAGATGTACCGGATTCGTTTGGCGCTATGCCCAGTCTGACGGCTGTGGATGGCGGCGGCAAGGGCCGGAAAGCAAAGCTGGTGGCGGATAGGACTATCAGTGAAGGCGTGACTGTGGAGCAGAGGCAGCACAGTCGGCAGCACACTCTGTCACCAGCATCCTCACTACTGGGCACCGGTCCAATGCTGTGGTGTGGATGTGGTAACAAGCTACTGGTACTGGATGCAGAGTAAGCGTGAAAGACATTATAGGCAGCTGACTACCATCCCCCCCCCCCCCCACACACACACAAACACACAGTAAAGGAGGTTAACTACCCCCCCCCCCCCCCCCCCGAACAGTAAGGCGGTGGACTATCCCTTCTCCACCCCCCCCCCCCCACCCCCACGTAGAGTAAAGGAGGCTAACTACCCCCCCCCTCCCCTCCTCCTCCGACCACCACTACCATACATGCAAACAGTAGGGCAGCTGACTACCCCCCCCCCCCCCCCCCAGCACCGCACACACAAGTACTAACGGCAAGTGAGTAACCTCCACACCAACACAGCGTATTTGTAGCTTGCGTCACTCGGCATCTTGCACTTGTCCTGTGAGGTAGCGGTGTGTGTTCAAGTAAATCACCATTGCTTTATTCCAAGTAGGTGGCTCTAGCCATGGGGATTGCACCATCAGTTGTGCCAGTACATATGGTACAGTACAGTACATGTCAGTACATATGGGACTGCACTGACCATCATTCGTGTCAGTACATATGGTAGCTGTATAGTAACTTACTGACTTCCCTGACATGACTGTTGCAAACAATGCCTTGCATCCCCAGCCGAACTAGTGCTTCAACTGGTTGTGTATGTTGTTGACTGCAGAACTCTAGAGGAGGTCACATCGATTCAGTTGTCCACGAATCAGCGTAACAACATCAGTCACCTGCGGCTCACCGACCATGGCGTATGGACTGTCATGCACAGGTACAGGGTGTAGAGTGGTGATATTGTGTGTGCGCGTGTGACTATGCACGTATGCAGGACTGTGTGCGTACATGTGTGTGTACGTGTACGTGCATGTGTATGCAAGTATGTGTATGTTTGTTTGTTTGTGTTTATTTAACTTCGCACATTAAACAGGAACTGGGCCCAATAACATAAAGGCGAATATGTGTGTGCGCTGATGAGTTCTGCCCGCAGATTGAGTATGTGACTATGTGTGTGCATATGTATCAGGCATTACAGCACTCCAATCTTCTAAGCATGATACTTTGTACAAGCGTTCACAATACTTCTCCACCTGGCAAGATGACTGGAACATTCTAAGAGCAAAGTTGTAGACCTTGCATGTAACTTCTCCCAGAACTGAATGCATAACTTTGGTTGCACAATAGGGGCTTCACCTCGTGGGGTTTGAGCACTCTTTGGCTGTGTTTACATGAGAAATTTCCACCCGGGTCGAGTTCAGCCCGGGTTGAAAGTCTGTACGATAGACAAAAGAGGCGAGCGTTTACATGAAGACAGTTGACCCGGGTCAAATACTGATATGCCGCCAAAAGTCCACTTCTACAGTCCTGTATGGTCACGTGAATCCATTCGCGCGAAATTTGCATCTGCAGTGCCGTTCAAATCTGGCGCGAGATACGCACAGAAATACGTTTGTACGATTTTCTTGACCCGGGTTGACCCAGGCAAAATTTCAACCCGGGTCAAGCGCAATGCGTCATGTAAACGCGCCATTCATTTTGTGTACATGGCGGGTTGAAATCTGACCCGGGTCGAACTCAAGCCGGGTTGAAACGCTTCATGTAAACACAGCTGTTGTTCGTCGAGGGACTCTATGCAGAATGCTTGGTTAAATGTATTTCTCCACTCTTGCTGCTGTTGTTGTGTTGTTCTGCACAGGACTGCAACCATAGACCTGTGGGACCGGCACACGTTCAAGCGTCTGCTCTCAGTGGACTGCGCTGCGCTGCTCGTGCAAAGGATCGAGGTATGTACGTGTACAGGTACTTGTCAATGGAGCGTACACCCCTCCCCCCCCCCCCCCCCCCCGCCCCGCACATAGACGAGTGCCTCATATACGAGGGCTGAGCGTGTACTGTACTGTACTGTTTTTACTTGTCTTGTTATTGACTTAATGATGTGGTACGGAGGTGCTGATCACTCACCAAGATCAATACACCATGTAGCCTCATCAGGTGTCCTAGTTAACAACCCTCTGCCCTTCCTCTGTTGGTTTTTTAGGAGGCCGAAGAGGCGTTTGCAGCTCCCGTGTCGCAACGTGCCACGGGCTTTGCGGTCGGCAAGCACTCATTATGGCTCGGCACAGCCAATGGATATCTGCTGATATGTGACATTGTGGACTGTACGCAAGAGTCAGGAGGTACAAACACATCGGGAAACCCAGCTGACGCGACAGACTTGACCAGTGAAACCATGCCCGGGCAAAGCAATCTGGACGAAGCGCCGCCGTACAAACTCAGGCTGGCCGGCCTTCATCGTGTCTCGGAAGACGCTCTCCGTGTCCTTGTTGTCGCACAGTGAGTACATTGTGCTCTTTGGTTTACTTTACAAGTATTCATATTGCATGTGTGTGTGTGTGTGTGTGTGTGTGTGTGTGTGTGTGTGTGTGTGTGTGTGTGTGTGTGTGTGTGTGTTGTGTGTGTGTGTGTGCGCGCGCGCGCGTGTGTGTATGTGTGTGTATGTGTATGTGTGTCTGTGTGTGTGTGTGTGTGTGCACGTGCTTGCATTGGTGTGTGTGTGTGTGAGTACGAGCACCGGCAATGTCTGTATCTACGATATGTGTGCTTAGCTCGATGATGTCTTCAATAATGGCGTTAAGAACGGGTGGATGAATCACGCATCTAACTGCGGTGTGTGTGTGTGTGTGTGTTTGTGTGTGTGTGCCGTCCGCAGAGCCGATGGCGAGGACATTGCCCTGCACTGTCCGCAGCACTCGCCCCCTCAGCTGTGGCGACAGCAGCCGTCCACGGTAAGCGCACTCTAAACACTGCACGACTCCCAACATGTTGAGGTATAACTCGTAAAGCTCATGAATCCTGATACAAATACTGGAGTCAAGAGGCTGTTTTGCGGTAGGAAAAATGTCATGCCCTGGACACGCTCATCAGCCAGTATGCTGGTGCATGAAGCACTCTTTCGAGCTGCCAGAGCGGCCTGCTGATATGAGAACTATTGTAGTAGCAAAACCGTTACCACATACAAGTACGGTCAGACCTCGCTTATCCGGTCCTCTTTTATCCGGATCCCTCGCCATCCGGCAGAAAATAGCTGGTTACAGATTTACAGCATGCGTAATGCATCCAACATAACTGGTGTTCGGTTATCCGGTTCCCTCGCCTATCCGGATATTTTTGTGGAAAACGGATGTGTGCGGTTAAGCAAGGTCTGACTGAGGTCTGACTGAGGTCTGACTGAGGTCTGACTGAGGTCTGACTGAGGTCTGACTGAGGTCTGACTGAGGTCTGACTGAGGTCTGACTGAGGTCTGACTGAGGTCTGACTGAGGTCTGACTGAGGTCTGACTGAGGTCTGACTGAGGTCTGACTGAGGTCTGACTGAGGTCTGACTGAGGTCTGACTGAGGTCTGACTGAGGTCTGACTGAGGTCTGACTGAGGTCTGACTGAGGTCTGACTGAGGTCTGACTGAGGTCTGACTGAGGTCTGACTGAGGTCTGACTGAGGTCTGACTGAGGTCTGACTGAGGTCTGACTGAGGTCTGACTGAGGTCTGACTGAGGTCTGACTGAGGTCTGACTGAGGTCTGACTGAGGTCTGACTGAGGTCTGACTGAGGTCTGACTGAGGTCTGACTGAGGTCTGACTGAGGTCTGACTGAGGTCTGACTGAGGTCTGACTGAGGTCTGACTGAGGTCTGACTGAGGTCTGACTGAGGTCTGACTGAGGTCTGACTGAGGTCTGACTGAGGTCTGACTGAGGTCTGACTGAGGTCTGACTGAGGTCTGACTGAGGTCTGACTGAGGTCTGACTGAGGTCTGACTGAGGTCTGACTGAGGTCTGACTGAGGTCTGACTGAGGTCTGACTGAGGTCTGACTGAGGTCTGACTGAGGTCTGACTGAGGTCTGACTGAGGTCTGACTGAGGTCTGACTGAGGTCTGACTGAGGTCTGACTGAGGTCTGACTGAGGTCTGACTGAGGTCTGACTGAGGTCTGACTGAGGTCTGACTGAGGTCTGACTGAGGTCTGACTGAGGTCTGACTGAGGTCTGACTGAGGTCTGACTGAGGTCTGACTGAGGTCTGACTGAGGTCTGACTGAGGTCTGACTGAGGTCTGACTGAGGTCTGACTGAGGTCTGACTGAGGTCTGACTGAGGTCTGACTGAGGTCTGACTGAGGTCTGACTGAGGTCTGACTGAGGTCTGACTGAGGTCTGACTGAGGTCTGACTGAGGTCTGACTGAGGTCTGACTGAGGTCTGACTGAGGTCTGACTGAGGTCTGACTGAGGTCTGACTGAGGTCTGACTGAGGTCTGACTGAGGTCTGACTGAGGTCTGACTGAGGTCTGACTGAGGTCTGACTGAGGTCTGACTGAGGTCTGACTGAGGTCTGACTGAGGTCTGACTGAGGTCTGACTGAGGTCTGACTGAGGTCTGACTGAGGTCTGACTGAGGTCTGACTGAGGTCTGACTGAGGTCTGACTGAGGTCTGACTGAGGTCTGACTGAGGTCTGACTGAGGTCTGACTGAGGTCTGACTGAGGTCTGACTGAGGTCTGACTGAGGTCTGACTGAGGTCTGACTGAGGTCTGACTGAGGTCTGACTGAGGTCTGACTGAGGTCTGACTGAGGTCTGACTGAGGTCTGACTGAGGTCTGACTGAGGTCTGACTGAGGTCTGACTGAGGTCTGACTGAGGTCTGACTGAGGTCTGACTGAGGTCTGACTGAGGTCTGACTGAGGTCTGACTGAGGTCTGACTGAGGTCTGACTGAGGTCTGACTGAGGTCTGACTGAGGTCTGACTGAGGTCTGACTGAGGTCTGACTGAGGTCTGACTGAGGTCTGACTGAGGTCTGACTGAGGTCTGACTGAGGTCTGACTGAGGTCTGACTGAGGTCTGACTGAGGTCTGACTGAGGTCTGACTGAGGTCTGACTGAGGTCTGACTGAGGTCTGACTGAGGTCTGACTGAGGTCTGACTGAGGTCTGACTGAGGTCTGACTGAGGTCTGACTGAGGTCTGACTGAGGTCTGACTGAGGTCTGACTGAGGTCTGACTGAGGTCTGACTGAGGTCTGACTGAGGTCTGACTGAGGTCTGACTGAGGTCTGACTGAGGTCTGACTGAGGTCTGACTGAGGTCTGACTGAGGTCTGACTGAGGTCTGACTGAGGTCTGACTGAGGTCTGACTGAGGTCTGACTGAGGTCTGACTGAGGTCTGACTGAGGTCTGACTGAGGTCTGACTGAGGTCTGACTGAGGTCTGACTGAGGTCTGACTGAGGTCTGACTGAGGTCTGACTGAGGTCTGACTGAGGTCTGACTGAGGTCTGACTGAGGTCTGACTGAGGTCTGACTGAGGTCTGACTGAGGTCTGACTGAGGTCTGACTGAGGTCTGACTGAGGTCTGACTGAGGTCTGACTGAGGTCTGACTGAGGTCTGACTGAGGTCTGACTGAGGTCTGACTGAGGTCTGACTGAGGTCTGACTGAGGTCTGACTGAGGTCTGACTGAGGTCTGACTGAGGTCTGACTGAGGTCTGACTGAGGTCTGACTGAGGTCTGACTGAGGTCTGACTGAGGTCTGACTGAGGTCTGACTGAGGTCTGACTGAGGTCTGACTGAGGTCTGACTGAGGTCTGACTGAGGTCTGACTGAGGTCTGACTGAGGTCTGACTGAGGTCTGACTGAGGTCTGACTGAGGTCTGACTGAGGTCTGACTGAGGTCTGACTGAGGTCTGACTGAGGTCTGACTGAGGTCTGACTGAGGTCTGACTGAGGTCTGACTGAGGTCTGACTGAGGTCTGACTGAGGTCTGACTGAGGTCTGACTGAGGTCTGACTGAGGTCTGACTGAGGTCTGACTGTAGTAGTATTAGTAACAGTAGTCTGGCATTGCAACCGTCCTACAGTCCATTCATCGAAAAATTGGCCCGCTGGCTTTTGAAAGTCGGATTTGGGCCGAATTGAGGATCAAAAACCCACTTTAAATCTTTTAAAAAATCTTGGTTTGGGATCTGCTTCTCCATACATTTTGCCATGGCATACCTGTCCTAATTTTGTAAAGCCTGGCTGAATTTCTATTTCCCTGTTCTTGGACTTTTCTGGCCTCAAATGTGGCAAGGAGTAATTGCACTGGTCACACAATGCAGGATGTACTGTTGTTTTCACGATATCTGCAACTATGTGAGAGAGACACCAAAAAGTTAGGGTGCCAGTTTCCAATGAATGGACTGTAGTTAGTTTTAATTAAAATAATGATGGTGTAACTCCTCTGTAGCCTTGTCATGATTAATTTTGAACTTCTACCTTGCTTGAAGGAATTTGTAGTTTTTGGGAGAGATTTGGAGAGTTTTCTATTTTCTATTTTGTGTAGCCAAGGACTTGGTGCAGCTGTGTGCGGTAGACGTTCAAAATGTATCCTAGCGCCTGTGCAGTTTAAGTACAAATTTTCGTTCACGAAATCTTTCGTTAGATCACTCCACCAGCAGGCTCGTTACGTACTAAATTTCGTTTTTGGTCGAGGTCTGTCACCCCGAATGTTCACAAAAAAAACTATAGTTTGGTACAAACTTTAGTTCTTTCGTGCCCCCTAACGAATATAGTGAAAGTTAATTCAAAACGAAAATTTGTACTCAGTGTCCAGTAGTTGTTAGCTATGACGACATGCCGGGATTTACCAAACAGTAATGTCTTGATGATGCCGTCATCGTATCCTAATGTGAGCATAGTCCTGCTTTCTGCCTTCGCAGGATGAAACCAAGGACGCTGGTCGTGTGTGGCGCTCGCAAGTCGTGGACTGTGAGAACACGGTCATCGAAGATCTCCTGCACCTGGAGAAAACACGCATGCAGGAGCAAGGTTTTCCGGACGTTAAAGGATCCGGCTCGGCTGGACGATTCCAGGAGTCCATGGACTTTCTAGCTGAAGCTGAGATGATTGACCCGGATGAGATCATAATCAAGCCGGCCACTATCGACGATGTTCCGGACAGTGAAGAGGTGGAGGACAGCTGAGCCCATCACGCGATGCCGCACTCAGGGTTCCCGCCGTGCATTGCCGCGGATGGTGCACATGCTGTATGCGGCACACGTGTTGAGCTTTTCGATGCATGCTTCTGCCATACTACTTCTGCGGCTGACAGGTTGTCATGGGAACACTTTGCTAGTGTGAGGTGCTGCGAGCGGTGAATTTTGATATTTCGGACTATCCTTCAGGCAGCATACGTGAATGAATAGCCCCAAATGCATGTAAGATTTCTTAGAAATACGGTATTATTTTGGAGTAAAATTAAACCTCGGCCTGAACCCCATGCAGGGCTCTGGCCGCATGTGCGAATCTCTGTGCGGACACAACTATCCAGGAGGTCCTGCACAGGATAGTTATGTTATGTGCGCGTTAACAGCCATGTAGAACACCAGCTCTGCACTAACTGGCGTTGGCTGGTAACCTGGCCTGGTACACGTTGAAATGATGCCGCCGAATGCTCCCCACTTGAACACCTCATAGTACGGTAATTATGTAATTGGCATGCTCAGTGTGATTGAGCAATGTCTTGGATCTAATACTATTAATTTTGGGCCCTGAGAACCTTCACTGTGTAGAGAAAGATGGCCACGATATAATTATTATGGAGAAAACCAATGGTCACAAAAACAGTGAAAACACTCTACAAGTAGTTTTTTTAATCCCTACTTTCCTACTTTCCTACTTTCCTACTATACTGTATACTGGATACTGGCAGTTTTGAAAATCTAATCTTTTACCTGATGCCACTAAATCAGTTGCGGCTTTTCATCAACTCGGCCCGGTTATAATTTTTTTTAAATATTTTAGAAAAAACTAAAATGCCTAATTTCCTAAAAAAGGCCCAGCTAGTTTTTCTAAGAATTCTTTGAAGTACATTGCTTGTACAACTCCTGGACTCTCTTTTTTTAGACGTAGGCTTGTGCTTTCAGAGCCACGTATATGCATGTTTAGCGGACATGAGAGTGATAGCATGTTCTCCGAATACACCAGAACCTTTGCTCGTGTCCTCGTTGGCCTGCATGGATGTGTGTGTGTGTGTGCTCAGAGCCAGTAAGCATGCAGGGGAAATCAAACTTGCAGCAGTGCATGCCAAACCTGGGCCTGGAGTATCCATCCAGTCAGTGCTTCATCATGCTGAGCAACAGCAGCTAGCAGCAGCAAGCACAACACAGTCATACACAACTTTCTGACAGATATCCCGGGAAACTAACTAAATTACTTACAAGCTAGCCTTAATGTTTAGGCCATAGAGGCGCGCATAGTGCCGACTGCATGAATACAATGCATAGCCAGATCATCTGGCAGCGTGTCCAAGGTCGAAGGACTTAGGTCCAATACAAGGTCCCGGAAGGTCGAAGGACTTAGTTAGGTCCAATACAAGGTCCAAGGTCGAAGGACTTGGTTAGGTCCAATACAAGGTCCAAGGACTTTGGTCCAATGCAAGGTCCAAGGTCGAAGGACTTAGTTAGGTCCAATGCAAGGTCCAAGGACTTAGTTAGGTCCAAGGTCCAAGGACTTAGTTAGGTCCAATACAAGGTCCAAGGTCGAAGGACTTAGTTAGGTCCAATACAAGGTCCAAGGTCGAAGGACTTAGTTAGGTCCAATACAAGGTCGAGTGACTTTGGTCCAATGCAAGGTCCAAGGTTGAAGGAACACAACACAACATACTGGTATCCACTGCACTACACAGCCATGTACACAGCCATGTACACAGCCATGTACATGCTTCAGACTTTCATTGACCAAAACCACTTACAAGTAATTTTAAAAAGATACAGCACACACCTGAAACATGCAACGGCAACGAGGGGTAACAATTCTGAAAAATCTTCCAGCTGCAATACTGTGACAAAATGAGCAGGCTGGCCTGGGCCAGAGAAAAGGAGAGTGACAGAAACGAAAGAGAGAAATCTTGCCCGGTGATGCCTGTTAGGTACCATAAACGCAACACATTTCCTCAGTGTATACTATGCACCATCAACTTCAATCGGGGATAGACTAGCACAATACATCATGGCGTGTAGCTCGCAGAGATGGAACGAACGGTGTTATAGCATGTGTGGATTCAGGCAAGTACGGAACAATCACGGCAGCAGTGCCTTCAGATGTTCAACAGGCAAGGAGGTGGGGGCATATACCGTGCCGCCGCTGTCATTCAGTCGCCGCCGACACACCTATACGACCTGCCTGACGGGCATGACTTCCTGGGGCAGGTCGGTGCACAGCTGGATCTCAGCACAGATCTGGTCCGGGTTGACCTTTTCAGCTAGCTGAGCGATGATCTGTGGTGCGTACTGGTCGACCAGGTCCTTACACTGGTTCTGGTAAGATCCGGGCAGGTAGTCGCAGATGTTGTCGATCAGCTGCTCGACCTCCTCGACGGTAGAGTTCTGCTTCAGCAGGCTCTGCACGTAGGTCATGACCTGCTCGCACACCTGGCAGTAGGGCTTGTCACTGACGCCCTGCTGGACGCGCGGCAGCTTGCTGCCCGTGCAGGCGTGGATGGCCGTGCAGATCACCTCGGGCGCGGCCTTGTTGATCAGCAGGTTGATGATTTCTGGGCCGAGCTGATCGATGAGCTGCTTGCACTCGCTCGCTACGGTCTTGGGCAGGATGGAGCAGACTTTCTCAATGGCGGCAATGATCTGAGCCTCGGTAGAGTTGTTACCAAGCTCCGCTTCCACCTTCGAGATGACAAACTCGCAGATCGTGCACAGGGGTCCTGCCTCAGGAGCATTGACGGGAGCGACGGACTCGACGACGGGCACGACGAGCGAGGCGTTGGTGCACAGGCCGATGGCAGTGCAGATCGTCTCCGGGTTGGCCTTGGAGATGAGCAGGTTGATGATCTGCGGGCCCTCGCTTTCTATCAGTGTCTTGCACTGGTCCTTGACCGTGGCGGGCAGAATGTCACAGATTTTCTCCACGGTGGCGATAATCTCGGCCTCCGTAGCGTTGGCCTGCAGCTCTTGCTCCACCTTGCTGATGGCAAACTCGCAGATTGTACAGAACTCGCCGGCGGCTGGCTTCTCCGCGGCGATGGGCTGGTGCTGTTGCTCGTCCTCGACCATCAGAGGGACATCTTCTTGCGGCGACAGGATGACGGGACCGGGTCCCATTGGCAGATTGAGCAGACCACCGCTCTGTGTGTATAGGGTTAGCATGCCGCAATGCACGGGGAACAGAGAAGGCAAAGACAGAATGTCCGCCGCCATCACACATGCATACACACGCCGAGACACAGACAGTCAGACACACACAGACACACACGGAGACACAAACACACCATACAACCGGTTACACGGGTAAGGGACATCAGTATTAGCAGACTCCATTGCAGCCATTGACATTAGGTTTTCTCAGTGTATCACCCTCATGATGAGTCCGGCCAGACAATTTGGTAAATCTTTCAAGTGACAAATGCAGCAAAGACATTAAAGGGGAAGTATACCCTAAGATCAAATTTCCACCAGTTGTAGTCTTCGGGGTGCTGAGTCGAATGGTGAATGGTCTTGGTCCGAGGAAGCTGAGACGCTCCCTTCCTCCTTTATTGCCAATCGAACTCGCCACTTCCACCGAAACTGGGTTAATGCGCCCTACTAGATGGGGATTTGTATGCAAAATGTCACTAAAAGCGCCATTTCCGACGTTCTTATAAAAGCACGGATGACCGCGATTGGCCCACATGTTGTAGTCTTTTGGACGCTGAGTCGACTGGTTTCGGTCCGAGAAGGCTGCGATGCAGCGTTCGGCCCTTATTCCCAATCGAACTTGGTTGAATAAGCGGTCACGTGCTCCTGCGCCAGTCACCTGGTCACCATGCCTGCAGGCTACAACTTACAACCTGTTTGGGTGCGTTCCTGTCACTCGAGGTGAACCTTTGACTGAGTTGAACCTTGGTGTGAAAGTTGTAGCCTGCAGGCACGGTGACCAGGTGACTGGTGTATGCATGAGCACGTGACCACTTATTCAACTATGTTCGATTGGGAATAAGGGCCGAACGCTGCATCGCAGCCTTCTCGGACCAAAGCCAGTCGACTCAGCGTCCAAAAGACTACAACATGTGGGCCAATCGCGGTCATCCGTGCTTTTATAAGAACGAAATGACGCTTTTAGTGACATTTCGCATACAAATCCCCATCTAGTAGGGCACATTCACCCAGTTTCGGTGGAAGTGGCGAGTTCGACTGGGAATAAAGGAGGAAGGGAGTGTATCAGCTTCCTCGGACCAAGACCATTCACCATTCGACTTAGCACCCCGGAGACTACAACGGGTGAACAATTGATTTTACGGTATACTTCCCCTTCATGACGTGGACTTCTGTACCCTTTCCGAGTCACAAATTCATCTGAGTTGGACGATGCCTTGTGTGTGCGCGAGAAAGAAAGAAAGAAAGGAAGAAAGAGAGAGAGAGAGAGAGAGAGAGAGAGCACGCAGGTCGTCAATTTCGAGTGGCTTTCGGCACTGCAATGTTACATCAGTCCGGAATTACTTGCTGCAATTGCTGAGGGCAGCGCACAACTGGCTCCTGTCTATAAAGAACAGTGCTTATGCTCCACAGGCTTTCAATGCACATAACTTAGTGGCCAGAATAAATGGGAAGGAAGCCAGCACTCGACCAGACTGTTACTGCTTGACTTGAATCACTGGCCAGTGGACTCACTCGGACTGTACTTACCAGCTGCTGCATGAAGCTGTTGTTACACAGGTGCAGTTCATCGCAGATTTGCTGTGGGGTGATCTTGGCGGCGATCATGTTGACAATCTGAAAGAGAAGTACACACACACACACACACACACACACACACACACATCAGATCTCCACTTGGAATTAAGCCGCCGAGTGCACCGCGTCTCAGTCGAGGCGCAACATCACACAGTTGCAGTTCGAACTTTGAGAGAGTACGAACTAATTGACCACCCAGGAGGATTGAGAGCAAGAAAGACAAGCCCACAACACAAACACACAGACACACAGACACACACATGCATGTACGCACTCATAAATAATAATTCACTCCTATACAATCATGCATATACGACACGTGCGCGCTATGCACGCACGCACAATGCCCCCAATCAAATGAATAACTCCCCTGTTTCGAACTCCACGCACTACGCAAAACAGACTGTCAGTTAGTATCTCGCTGGACCAATGCGGCATTACCACCACGCACTCCAAATTAATTTCCGACCAGGTCAAGAACACTCACTCGAAAAGGCTCTACTACTAGCGCACACCTCCGCTCTTGGAGTTTAGTGGTTAGTCCTTAGCCTTAGGAAAATATCAAAATTACGAATATTAGCAATAGCGTAAATAATTGTGTGTTGCCGACCTACATCTGTCGGACAGAATACTACATGTACTGTACAGTACATGGCGGCCTTACCTCTGGGACGTATTGGCCAACGTACTGCTTGCACTCATCCGAGATGCCTGGGATGGCGTCGCAGATCTTGTTCACCGTGTCCTCGATCTCCTTGATGGTGGTGTTGCTCTTCAGCTGCGTGTCAATGGTGCTGACCACCAACTTGCAGGTTGCACAGTCATCTAGCGCACGGCCAGACACCATAGCGACTAGCGCCAAGAAGATAGCGACCTTCATCATCTTGACTTTGGTGGGAGAAGCGGAGGACACTCGACAAATAATAATTATTATTGTGATGAAGAGAAAACGGAACAACCTACAGATCGAGCGCTAGTTGTAGTTGCACTGCACAAGAAGGCTGAAGAAAAAACTTGTCATGCTCTATTTGAAATCTGCACTTGCGACACGTAGATCTACACAGCGCCTAGTGTGCAAATCGTGTGCGCTGGCGCTAGCTAGCTGCAGGCTGGCGGTGACTTCATGCATTTCGCAAAAGGGCAAGGGTTTTGAGTTTTGACTGGTGTCGACATGTCGTGGTGAGGCACCGCCATCTCATGCATTCAGAATCAGTGTGATCCAAGTCGGATCGCGGAATGCTGGTAGAAGGAGTCATCGGGTGATTGATAGGCGATGGCCACCTAGCTAGTCTCATGACCCGTCACGTGTCACATCACGTGAAGTCGACTCTCCAAATAAGGCTTGATTTGTGTTGGTGTTGACTGTTGGTGGCGGACAGCAAGGGAGTGTAAAACAATCATGATGACGTTTTACCCTGGCACAGATTCATACCAATCATAGAATCATACTCGTACTCACAGAGCTGCAACTGCAAGACTACTGTAAGTGTAACTAAGTAAGTGTAAGAGACAGGCGTATAAAAAGGCATGTGATGATAACATGGCACGAGTCGTACTAGTACTAGTAGTAGTAGAACATTTTTCCAGGTGCCAAATACATAAAGTCTACTGTTCTCCTTTTTTTTTTGACAGCACAAGTAACAGTTAGTTCTGTGCAGGTGGCATGACATCATGACATGGAGGAGCTGTTCTCCAGTCTAACTACAAAGTATGTACAAAATACGTGCACACAGTGGTACAGCTTCAGGCAGTTCAGAGTCAAGTGAGTCATGCAGGTAGCTGCATAACAGACTACCTGTACTCGTACTGGGTACTGCACGTGTGCATGCCGGTATGACGATGCATACATACAGACTAACAGCTGCAAGATGAAGCCAACCATGCAGATGTCGACGGCGCAGGCCGGTAACAACGTGCTTTGCCAATGCCCTGAACCATAGGGCAATGGACGCCTGTAGGTTTCGACACCACCGTCCCCAACAGCGCCGGATGGGCGTCACATGCATAACCACCACAAGCACGTGAAAAATCTAGGTTTTCTCGCTCATCACATGCACAGGTCAGGACTAGCAACATCACGCCAGTTTCCACCAGGTTCAAACGTTTACTTCACTGCAAATGTAGCCACGAGGAAAACGAGAAAGGCGTCAAAATAACAAAATACACATAGGGCAGCGACAACAAAAGCGGGGAGATTGCAGCACAGGGCTCCAGTCCTCAACATATCTACAAACAGTCACAAACAACACCGAAACGCTCGAGTACAGGAATATACAGAACTCTGCAGAAGGATATTTATTTCCACACGTGCGCACAAGCACACTCGTGCACACAGACACAGGCACACAGACACACAGACAAACATACACACAGGCACACACCTGCATACAAACACATGTACACACACCGACACACCAGCGCATAAAAAACGAAAGATAACAACGGCTAAGTAATCGGCTGCAGACGTGTCGTGATAGCATCGAATAAGTAAGCACATTTAAAAATGATTGAAAACAGGTGGTAAATAGCATGCAAACTCATGGCAGCTGGACAAATGAATCCATAATCAGGACAAGGAGCTGAAGGCACACTACGTGGTGAGGTCACTCCAGCTTCATGACTACAACCAACCAAGAGAGGGTGATGACTGAACAGTGGGTGATCAAGGATAATGACGCCCTGCGCAACGCACCGGGAATTTGCTAGTGTTGCTGTGCGCGATGCTATCAATTGTCGCAATGCACTATTGTTGCACATAACACCGCTTACGCAGCCCATACCCGTGGCTGAGTGCACTCAGCGTGCTCAGCTTGTCACAACTTTGCCCGTGTCTTCCTTGCCAGCGTAACGCCGCTTACCATGGGAGAATGGCAAGTACCGATAGCGAATCATATGCTGGAGAGAGAGAGAGAGAGAGAGAGAGAGAGAGAGAGAGAGAGAGAGAGAGAGAGAGAGAGGATTAGAAAAGAGACGAACGTGTACTCGGACAGATTCAGACAAGGGTACCCCCCCCCCCCCCCTCTCAAGTAAGCAAGAAACCCAGAATCAAGCTTTGCACAGACACTTGGCTGTCCCGAGATCAATCCACACACAACAGCAAATTCTCAATGTACAGACCAGGGAGTCGTAAAATACCGGCATTTTATGACTCTCTGGTGCAGACAGTACATTCGTGTTCGTTGTGGACTCAAAAGTACAGTGCAAAGGAATGAGGCTAAATCTGGTAGAAATGAAAGTAAAATTCTATAAGTCAAGTGAGAATTCAAGTCGGCAGGAAAAGCGCGAGCTCTCACGAGGGAGCAACACACGCAGTGGCGTGTCCAGGATTTGGCTGAGGGGGGGGGGTTGCGGCCTGGACGCGGTGGGGATAGATGACATCATGCTACTGTCCCGGGTCGGCCATTTTGAAAATGATGTCAAGAAGCCGTGAATCTCACACACCACGAAAAACAAAATGTATTTAAATCATTTATTGTACATGTATTTCCATAGCTTGCATCACTAAATTAATAATGAATATTATTATGAACTCGGATGGTGAGCCAATATAGTTATGATGAAGAAAGGAAAAGGACAAAATGTTACGAGTTATGACAAACTGTCCACCAACGTAACCAGATCTTATACAGCCAGCAAGTGCGACAAAATGGCACAAAACTGACTGGTCAGTTTTGTGCCATTTTGTCGCACTTGCTGGCTTGTCAGTTTTGTGCCATTTTGTCCTTTTCCTTTCTTCATCATAATATTATTATGAATTAATAATGAAGGGATATAGCAGTTGCCTCTGCACATGGTAAGTACACACAGCTTTGCTTCAAAGTTCGGCAGGGCACGTCAACAGGAGAGAGAAGTTACAAATCGGGGCAGTTACCTTCGGACTCCTCCTGGACAGGGTTCACCAACAGCATTCTCCGAGGATGAGCTGAAGCAAACCTGCATGTCCAATACAGCACCCAGATCCAGAGGAATGCTCTTGTGGCAATGCAGAAGCACAAGGGCATTCAGTCGTGACTGCGTCATGGTGCTGCGGCGTTCCGTTTTGATAAACTTCAGGGTGGAGTTAGCACGTTCGACGCCAGCGGATGTCACAGGAATGACAAGAACAAGCTGCAAGATGCGCGAGATGTTTGGGTTGAGTATGGAATTGGTTTCCTTGACAGTACTGGGGAGAGAAGTTGGATGTTGTCCTGCTGGGCGCATTTCCCACTTCTTCATCCACAGCTCCACTTCAGCTCTGAAGCTGCTCTTGTCTGGGAGATCAGAAGCATAGGCTGCCTCTATGTTGGCAATGTGATCGGATGACATGTGATCCAAGTTGGCAGGGAGAAGAAGGAGTGCCTGGATGGCCTTCTGGTTCCGGGAACTGAAACGACTGCCCATTTCAGAAATAACCGAATCCAGGAACGGCACGAAAACTGACCTGCGCCAGTACTCCTCTGCATCGGAGGCAGGCACATTGCTACGCTGTGTCTGGCGTGCTGAAGTGCGAGGAATGACTGGTTTCTCTCTCCCATGGACAGCTGTTAGACTGCAAATTTCACCATAGACCTTCTTGAATGATATGTCCGCCTCCTCGCGGTGACCTTGAAAGACAGCGACGACTCCGGATATCTGGGAGTATGCTTCCAATATATCCAAATGTGAACCTTGGAGAAGAGCACTCAGACCTTTCAGGTATGCAGAGACGAAAACGTTACAGTGCAAGGAGACAATAAAGTCATCCGATGATATTGCTCGGAGCAGTCCATTTGCCTCCGTGACTGACTTGCCATCAAACTTGGCCAGCTCACAAGGTTTCTCAATGCCAGCTTCAGCTTGCTGGTCATGCGTTGGTGCTGAGGATTGGCCACATATCACCTCCAGGCAGAACACAACAGCCTCATACACCTGCCTGAAATCCATGATGGCCGTGTGCCGCTCAACCCACCTGGTAGCAGACAGCAGCTTCAGCTTCAGGGTTGGGATTGGTTCTTTTCCCTCTTGCGTACGGTGGTAGTTAAGCCAGGCAGTGGAGGTTTCAAGGCATCGCTGACGCTTCGGTGAGTATTTGAAGAAGATGCCCAGTGCCTGCAGGTCTGATAGCATGCACTGGACAGACTTCACAGCGCAAGCCTTGGTCAGCACCAGGTTTAACTGATGGCTGGCACAATGGTTGTAATGGGCTTCAGGTACTACTTGACTGAACTTCGCCTGGCAGCCATTCAGATGTCCACTCATTGCTCCGGCACCGTCGTAGGCTTGAGCGCGGCAGAACTTTGGGTTGAGACCAATCCGCTTCAGCTCACCCATTATCGTGTCACAAATAGCTGCGCCAGTAGCAGACTTGCACTCAGCAAATGAAACCAGGCTTTCTGTGGCCTCTCCGTCACAAATGTACCGCACAGAAATACCAAGCTGCTCCCATCCACTGACGTCCTTGACCTCATCGGCCTGAATACCGTAATAGTGAGTCGCGGACATTCTTGACAATGGACGCCGTTATCTCGTCACCCATACATACAAGCAGCTGGTTCTTGGCCGTGTTCGACAGGTAAGTTGCATTTTTTGCGCAAGTTTGCAGATGGTCGTGCAGCACTGTATCGCCGCTTGCCACAGCAAACCGAATCAACGCACGGAAATTGCCTTCTGGATCACCATCTCCAGTCAGATCATCGCGGTGTCCGCGAAGGGCAAGGCCTTGTCTTCCAGCCAATTCCAGGCAGCGCAGAATAGACAAGAGAACTTGTCTGTTCTTCCGAACACGTTCTTGTGACCGTTCCGTAATTGTGGCGTCAATGCGTTGCTGTGGGTTCTCAGCTACGGAGATGAAGTGCGACAGCTTGGCAATCGAATCAGCATGGTACTCCAGGCGACCATGGGCATCTAAGTCCTCTCCAAGCTTCTTGAAATTTCGGTGGACTTTGGTGATCAGGGTGTCTGCCCTTCTCGATCCACCTCGGTGAAGAGTGGGGAAGAGAACGCAGGGCAAGCAATACACGCCAGCCGCTGATACGTCTCCTTCGCCGTCGTGATACGCCAGCCACTCGTGCTTCTCAAACAAAGACAGCTGGAGGAATCGCTTCGATGTGCCCGACTGCTTTCTCTTGTCAGCAAGTAGCGAGAACGGCAGCGAGCAACCGGGCACTGGTTTTCTGGACCGAATCAACTGCAATTTCTGCGAGTCCGACAATTTCTCACCACGCAAAGCATCCTTGACATAGGCAGCTGTGCTATGTTCTGGCTGCTCGCTGACAACCAGTGCTTCCACGTCTGGAGGAGTCTGCTCGGAAACTTCCGTAAGTTCAACTGGAGCAGGAATCGGCAGAGCGGCAGCGGCAGCAGGAGTTTCGTCGCTACAAGAACGCTTTGCAAAAATCCATCCAGGCTCTGCTGGCTAGAGCCTGGCCTTTTGGGATGTCGCTGAGACATCGTCGAAAAGTCTTCGCGACAGAGTCAACCAAATCAGATTCGAACGCCGAGGCGATAAATCAGAGCTCGAAAGATCGTTCAAGTTAGTTACTAGTTCTGAAGAGCTTTCCTGTGACAAGTTCACTTTATCCGCTTGCACAGCGCTGCACATCGCAGATCGCGTATACATGGTATACGGGATTACCTATCGACGCGTATATTATCGCCGATAGTATACGCGTCGATAGGTAATCCCGTGCACTTCGCGTATACTACGTACGTACTACACACAGTCGAGAGTCTCCCGGCCAGACCTGACGCGACGAGTGCGTCCCAGCAGTGATGATCAGTTTAGTGTGAAATGAACAGTGACTGCAGCACAGTGACTGGCCGTGCATACTAGTCTGTCTGTACTGTGCACAGTCAACCAGGCCGCTCAGCCTCAAGCACCATGCAACCGCTTTTGGACGCTCGTTTCCAGCGGACATGCACTGCACTCGTCTGCAGGATGCGGGTGAGTGCAGCATGCCTGGCGTTGTTTATTTTTCGAAACCTAGGTCGAAACTTTTGAGCCCCCCCCCCCCCCCCCCTAAACCCGCCACTGACACGATTCCCCAGAATTCTAAAAGGCAGAATTCAAACCAGGGCTGGCAACACCCTGCCACAGCACTCAACTGGCCAGGTCAGCGAGATACGCATAGCCCAAGCGACACAGGTACTCTTACCTTACTGTAGTGCATTCAGAAATAACTGAGTTCTAGGTTCTTCAATCTCGACTTGAGCCAATTTAGGATCCAACCCCAGATCTTGATTTTGTAATTTGGTTTTTGACCTGCAGCTTCACATAGCAGGTCAGGTTAAACCTGGCCAATTTTTATATAAAACTTAGCTGACCACAGTGTTATGAACTTGAAAGAATTGTTCACAGTACAGGTATGGGAAAGTGATGAGCAGACGGACGTCTTACCTGTATTTGCTTCTTCATAATCATGACGAAGAGAGTGATGAAATAGATGACGAGAACGGGCCAGAAGACGGGAATGTTGAACATTTGAAAGCAGGTCATGAAGAGAGCCAAGACGGTCGCGTACGTGATGCCGTGCCTGAGATGGGTGCAGTCAAACAGCGGACAACACGATATCAGCGTGCGCAATTTGCTTGTACAGACAGCACGCCACAAAGTCAATAGCACTGTTCAAACTGGAATCGCTTGTACAAACATTACACCACAAAACCAATAGCACTGTTCAAACTGGAATAGCTTGACAAGTGCAGACATCACACTACAAAGCCAAAAGCGCTGTTCAAACTGGAATCGCTCGTACAGACTGGAATCGCTTGTTCAGACAGTACACCACAAAACCAATATCACATTTCAAACTGGCACCAAGCGAGGGCAGGGTTGGCCTCACTATACTACTGATACTGTCAATGTTGCATACAATAGCCGGGAGTATGCTTGTTTCAAGCCGACACGAGGGCTAGGCTTCTATTCAAGTCAAACCCGCATCTGCATACACCTGTTGTACCGCACATCACACCAGACAGCTACAACTTACCAGAACTTGAACTCGGGAAGGCGGCGAATGAACGGCTTGAACTCCGCATCGGCCTTTGTTGGCAGTGAAGGCCCGTCAGCTAAGAACAAAGAGAAGACTCAGAGACGTGAACGGGAATACCTTGAGAGGAAACAGTTCCAATGTGGAGCACCAACGTCGACTAGTAACAGCATTTTACAATGCCCGCCGATCAGCAAAAATTAGCACCGCAAACTACACTTGCCTTCAACCCGTTGGTCAGGTAAAGTTCACAGAAAAACTACACTTGAATTCTTAGCCAGCGGTGAATACCACTGACCCTGCAAGTTGCTTGATGACCAGCCAGCAGGGAAACGTCATCACAGCACTACCGACTACATGCCAAGAATGCAAGAGATAATGAACATTGTGCTGAGCTTTTCGAGGACCATTCGTCAGCATGGACTGTGACGTACTCATGTACATGTACTAGTAACAGCCAAACGGCGTGCACCCACATTTTCGAATTATTATTGATGCGCACCTTGGTGTACTTAAAACTGCAGTTCACGCATCCTATACAGCCAAGATGATGACCCCATGAGTCATCATTAGTCAGTGAGCACCACATTAAAAATGCTGTTCTGGACATGGGAATGCCGACAACACAACATGACTCTGCGTTGTTCCTTGCCACCTGGGGTACTTCCCCCCCAAAAAAGTTACCCCCCCCCCCCCCCCCACCACCGCCATCTCGGCATGCACTCCAGTAAGTTTGTGCGCTAAAAGCTGTGATCAAATTTTTGTAATAGTGTGTGGTCTGTCCAACAACCAGGTAGTTCCAAGTTGCCCAGACACCGGGACGGCATACATACCCTCATGGGTTGAGTACGGGTACAACAGTGCACACAGGTATGCCGGGCTGAGTACGGGGGGGGGGGGGGGGGGGGGGACAGTAGTGCACACAGGTACAGGTAGCGTTACGCCATGCCCCTTACCATTCTCCTGCACTTCCGCTAGCGCGGGGTCGATTTTCGGCGTCAGGAACGCAATGAAGAGATTGAGCATATAGATACCGAGGCCGTAAGCAATGATGTACCAGCCCTGCACCACAGAGGACAAACAGACATTACATTGTGTGGCACTGGTCTGTCAAAGGTCATGCACACTAGATTGATGACAGCACAGCAGCGATTCTGAACACGTCCACACATGTACACATACACAACCCCCCCCCCCCCCCACCTACACGCGCACACACACACACACGTACACACGTATGTACAGACAGAGTAGAGGCTACCCATCTCACCTGAAGCAGAATGATTCGTGCCATGAATATTAGAAGCAGCAGCAGGCATACAACCCATCGTGGAGTAACGTGCGGCGTGATGTCATCCAAAAACTTTTGATGTCTCTGCAGCGAGACACGGAAAGAGGGGAGAGTGCAAAACGGCCAATGAAATTACCAGTATTAAAGTCCACCACAGCACTGAAGGTTACGCCTAGCACAGAGCTGATCCACAACAGTGCCGTTGGCTTGAGTATGCTACAGCGTGTACGGGGCATTCAAGGGGGATTTGTGGGACCGGCCGAGTCCCGATCAGGGATGATCTCTCGGCCCATGGAAACTCCACTTGAAGAGCCATCCACTAGCAGGCCCGACTGTAGTATTGTGGCGTTACACGCAAGTATAATTCGACAACCACGCTTGGAAGTGATACGTTATCAATTTGCCATCCAGCATTGCACAACAGTAGACCTAGGCTAGGGCATTGTGACTCTGAGGGTGCGTTCTTAAATCCTCTCCGAAAAGTTGGACACTCCCCGAAAAGTTCGAGAGCTGTTCTTATATCCTCTCCAACTTTTAGGAGGCTCTCCAAAGCTCTCCAAGCTTCAGAGGTGGTTGAAACTTGGAGATTCCCGCGGTTTGGGATCAGCGCATGCGAACTACGACTAAAAGCCACGTGTTCATCATGAGTGTACGCATTTCCCTTTTCGCATAAGTGCATACTACATGCATCACTTAAGATCGCGGTCCCTTTGGCGCTTCATTTTGCTTGACATGTGCAAAATATCTCCGAATTCTTCGAGACCCGTTCTTGAATAATCCCAGTTTCTTCGACTTCTCTTTTCTTCTTCTCCAAAAAAGTTAGAGAATATAAGAACACACCCTAAGTTTCAAGAACACTGCCTGTTCATCAGAAAACATGGTGCATTATACCGGAAGGCTAGAGAGCTCTGTAGTGAATTCCATGTTTTCTACGGGAACAACCACAACTTGCATGGCAGAGGAGTCGGACATTGTGCTCAGACTACTTCACGTACTAGTATCCCCCCCCCCCCCTGCCCCAAACAAAAATTGGCTCTCTCTCTCATCTATTTCTCTACTGTATAAGCAGAAAATTTCGTCGGTCAATAATTTCGTCCAACTCCAAAGAAAGGGAGTTCGTCCGGTTGTAAATTTCGTCCATGGATTACAAGAGTGTATTGAAAAGATGGACAAATCAATATTATAGCAATGAAAAATATCAATTGTGCACTCATAACCATGTATAAACAATTAAAATGAAACAATTCCAGAACGTTTTCGTGTGACCATCATCAGTGGAACATCGTCACATAGTAAGAATCACTAAAACAACCAGATATATAGCTAGAGCAATATGACACACGAAAACAATCTGGAATTGTTTCATATTAATTGTTTATACATGGTTATGAGTGCACAATTGATATTTTTCATTGCTATTTTACGACTGTTGTCTCCTCGTCGGTTATTTAAATCAATATTAGTCCGGCATTTAATTTAGTCCAACAGCTCGTTGGACGAAAAAGACGAAATTAAATTCCAGACGAATATTTCTGCTTGTACAGTACTTCATACCATACTAAGAGTACAGAACACAAAGAGTGTGCAACTGCCCGCACAACCTCTATACATTGCTGTGATGGCAACACTTCACATTACGTGGCATGGTTTAAAAGGTTACACTGGCAAACAGTGCAAAGTGACCCCAAGAAAAGCTTAACCCAAATCAGGGTTGTGTACAACCCTGTATCTATCATGCAACGGGTGCAAATAACGTTTACGGGTTCGTCACGCGATGTGAAGTTCTGACGTCGCAGACCTCATAGCTGGAGTTACACAATTGGCGGATATGTACTCTTGCTCATACTGGTCGCATCAGCAACTACAAAAGTATGGCACGGGGAATCATTGGTGCATAGACTAACTGCCAAACCAATGTCCTTCTTGGACAATTTCAGTCAATAGTTGGACAGCATGATCGACAAGAGCTCTCGTACTCTCATCATGGGTGATTTTAATGCGGACGTAATAAAGGAAAAAAGGGACTCGATTCAACCTCTCGCAGCAACACTGTGCCAAGTCGTTACCCCTGTCCGTTTTGTGCCTTATTGTCGCACTATCCGACTGTACATTATCTCGTTGCCTTGGTGGACTGTTAATCAAAACTCGTAGCATTTTGGTCCTTTCTCTTATACAGTAAACCTGTAACTAAAGACCACCGTGACTAGCGACCAGCCTGGTACTACAGACCACTTCGCCAGGCATGGACGGTCTCACACTCATATAATTATTTTGGTTGTGCGGTGCAATCCTCTAACTCAGGACCACCTGCCACTAAAGACCGCTTTCTCTGGCCCCAAGGGGTGGTCAATAGTCACAGGTTTTATTGTACATGAATCCTAACGAATACTATTGGCTCACCAAGCGATCTTGCAGCAACACGGTGCAGTATTTTCTTCAAAAACACGGTCCTGGGGACCAACTCAAATGCTACCTAGCACTTGTTCGGATGTAGCACTGTGCGTGGAAAATGTCTTCCTTTCACAATGGGTGTGCTTGCTGATTAGCCCTGGCAGAACCTCAAAGCGCACCGAATAAGTACAGTGAAGATGGATGTGAGGAACTGTGGCGGTGTGTCGACAACCACTTTTGCTGGTTCCCTATTAGCTACCTACCATAAAGTACCGTAAAAGTCCGTAAATAAGTACGTATTTACTTTCGAATTTAGTGCCCACACTCGTACTAACTTTCGGGCGGGTACTGACTTTCGGGCATGAACTAACTTTCGGACCTGACTTGTGTGCAGTGGAGACGTCATTTTCATGTAGATGTACATGCTACACACTGCATGTGCGCATCGTACCGGTACTTATTTCGGGCAGTATGTTTATCGGGCTTGACTTGACTTCAACAGACAGAGCCAAAACAATGAAGGGGGTATTTCTTTCGGGCAGGTACTTATTTACGGACTTGTACGGTACTCTCTCTCTCTCTCTCCCCCTCCCCCCCCCCCCCCCTCCCGTCTTTTTCTCTCTGTCGATATTCTATTTGTGGAGCAACTTCAGAATGATAGCATCGAGTCGATATGCTGTATACTGCTGGCATGGGCATGGAAATCCGGTCGAATGACCGGGACTGTTGCCCTCAGTGCGTACAGAACGTTGCATGTGCGCACCACATGCGTACTCACGGCTGCATGGCCAGCGCCCTGGGGCCGCTTGACCTCCGACCGGATTTCCCTGTCCACGACAGTAGTATGCATGTAGTTTGCACGTGCATACAACCAGCTGAGAGCTACACACTGACAATGAGTTCATTCGGCGGAAGCAGGTGAATGCAACGGCGAATCGTACCGTAGGGCAAGTTTCACCATCTTTTCACTTGATCGCGTCTGAACTACACTACAACATGTTACATATTTACCAGCCTTGATGTAACTCCCACCCCTGCTGTGAAGCCAGCTGGGATGCAGCACAGCGTGGGATGCAGCACAGCGTGGGATGCAGCACAGCGTGGGATGCAGCACAGCGTGGGATGCAGCACAGCGTGGGGAAATCAACACCACCTTACTAGTTACAGTATACCAAGTACAGTGGTCCCATTATAAACCAGCACCATTATTTTTGTGCTGCAGAAGTTCTGCTGGATTAGGGAGGATGCTGGATTGACAGATCTGATTTACTGCTGCAATGTGCATGAAGGGGACTTTGGCTACTGAAAATTATGCTGGTTTATTGAGGGTTTCACGGAGAATTTCAAAGTTTTAGGAAATTAGAGGCCACATGCCACGTACTGCTCTTTTCTCTCCGAAACTCAACACTTGCAAGCCAGATTATGAAAGAAAGAAAAAATCATCAGTCACACCGCTGGGACTCGAACCAGGGACCTTGCTATCCACGAGCAATAGAGCAGTACGTGGCATGCGGCCTCTAATTTCCTAAAACTTTGAAATTCTCCGTGAAGTCCAAATTTGAAATTGCAATTTGTATTTGCTTGCAGTGGACATAGTTTGATGCGATCCCCATGACATCAAGCGAATGGCCGAGGGCCCTCTTGATTGGTGTGAGTTGCCAGTATGATGCAAGCCAGATGTGGATTGATCGAAGAAGGATAGATTTACCATCACTGTGGATAAGAGTCATACTGTAGCTCAGTTGGTTAGAGTATTGCTTGCGAATAGCAAGGTCCCTGGTTCGAGTCCCGGTGGTGTGACTGATGATTTTTTCTTTCTTTCATATCTGGCTTGCAAGTGTTGAGTTTCGGAGAGAAAAGAGCAGTACGTGGGGGGCTAAAAGGTTTATTGAGGGTGCTGGATTAAAGAGGGAAATCTGTGAAACTGATGTGACTGGCCTGCAGTAGGCATCTTCTCTATTTCGCCTTGGTTTATATGCTGTGTTCCTAAATTGCTGAAAGCGCATGGTGATACTCTTTCTTCGATTTCTGCTTTAAACAGCTGGGAAGGGTTAAATAGTGTATCCACTAGAAGCATTTCCCACTCCTGTCGAAACATTTTGCATACAGACAGGAAATTGTTTCTACGATGTCACTTGGAAATAATTTCAAATGAACAAGATGCAGCCCCGCAAAAAAATCTAGCAGGCTCAAAGGGAAAGTTGAAATCGTACCAACTGTAGGATTGATAATTTGCTATTATTTAGAAAGGTATAATTGGAAAACACATACTACATACTAGTATCGAGAATGTAAGAGAAAACAAACCTGGGCGATGCTTCTGATGAATTTGGAAAAGAATCCTTCTGACGAAGGAGCTGCCTGCTCATCACTAAACGATGACGCCATGGCGTCCTCAAAATCAGCAGGCACTATCAGATGCAAGCCACGAATAAATACACCTTGAACAACTCAAACTGGAACTGGACCGCCGGACTCACTCAACAACAAAATTATCAGAAGCCAGTTCACGCCAAATCAAAACAAAGGAAGAAAATCGAAAAATTAATGAAAAAATCAGACCTCACGATCACATGCGCGAAACTCCGTTAGCGTATAGCACGTTATCTACACAACGCGACGTACACGCCGCGCCGGCGCGCGCCGCGTTGCTCACGATGCGCTGCACGAAGGCGCCACCCGTACCCGCGGCGCGGACGTACACGTACACGCATCGACGGGGCAGGGATTCTACGTGTCTAGATTTTTTCAGGTGAAGCCTGACGACTACGATGAAGCTGTCCAGCTGTTCGACGGCACAGCTAGCTACAGGCATCCACATCACCATGATCACCGCCGCGGGCAACCGCTACCTGGGTTCAGCCATAGGCACAGGCCAGGAAATCAGCTCTGAGCTCCGCACCCTTTTCTCCTTCCCCTGCCGGAACGGTGGTCTAGGAATATTGGATCCCACCCGAGTCTCTGTCGGCCCAGTACCAATCCTCGCGTGCCATCACTGCTCCTATGGTTGCCAACATCCTCACCCAGAGTTTCAACCTGGGAGACTCTTTGGCAGAGGTCGCCAGCCTGAAGGCCTCTAACCGCAAGGATGTGAAGGCAGCTGCCACGGAAGCCCTTCGCGATTCGCCAATTCACCGCCCGAGCCTCCTCTGCCCTCCAGCACTCCATCAACCTTGGCAGTGAGGCGGGTGCGTCCAGCTGGCTCACGTGTCGCCCCCTCAGTCGGCACAGTGGGTTCAGCTTGTCGAAGTGTGAATTTCGCGATGGTCTGGCATTGCGGTATGGCTGGCACCCGGCACGGCTCCCTTCTAGTTGTGTCTGTGATGCCACCTTCTCTGTGGAGCATGCTCTCTCTTGCCCCACTGGTGGTTCAGTCCCGACGCTTCGCCACAATGAGGTACGGGACATCATTGCTGGCCAACTGAAGAAGGTGGCACACAGCGTAGAAGTAGAGCCTCATCTCCAACCCCTCACCGGCGAGCTTTTCCGCTACCGGACGGCGTCCACCGAGGATCAGGCCCGTCTGGATGTGGCGGCGAGTGGCGTGTGGGGAGGACGGTTTGAATGCGTTTATCTTGATGTACGAGTGTTTAACCCTTTCGCTCCTTCAAACCGTTCCTCTTCTCTCGCTGCTCGCTACCAGAGCCATGAGCGCGAGAAGCGTCGCAGGTATGGTCAGAGGGTGCAAGAAGTTGAGCTTGCCTCCTTCGTACCTGTCGTATTCTCAGCCACAGGTGGAGCCGGTCGAGCTGCTTCCGCTCGAGTCAAGCCGCGGAATTGCTGCTCTGTCTGCAGAGAACTTATGATCCGGAGAGCCATACGCAATGGTGATGGCGTTGCTGCGTTGTCGTCTTGGTTTTGGTCTCCTGCGTGCCAGTGTTGCCTGCCTTCGCGGTGCCCGGCGGATGCGCCGCGTCAATTATCGGATCAGTCTGCTGTCCTCGCAAACGCGGAGGCTGCATTGATTTAACTTTCTTTGCAACTCCTGCAGTCTAGGTACTGAGTATCATTGTTATCTTGTGTGTGTGTGTGTGTATATGTGTATGCGTGAGTCAACAGCTTTGATAAAGTTATTGTGTTTACCCCTCTTGTTTTCTCATCATTGTGTTGCTTTTAATTTTTAACCTTGCCCGTAAAAGAGGCTGTTGTTCTAAAAGATTTTTTCAGGAAGGCCAAGGCACGCGCGTACGCGTAGATCTACGTACGTACGCCATTACTACATTAGGGCTATGCACAGACGAAACTGAGTAGATCTACGAACGCACGGATCGAGTGATATCAAGAGTACTCTTGGTGATATCAAGGCCCTTTTGACGCGGCACCCTTGACAAGGGTGCCGCGCCGATCCGACGCGCGCTACTTGCTTGTACATAGCTAGCCGCGTCGTAGTACATATCCGCGGGACGTACAACTCAGGCCCAGGTCAGTACAGCGTCAGCGAACGCTTTCAAACAAGTCGATTGTCGGATTGCTTTTTGCTTGACTGAAGACTGAAGTGGGAAATATTATTACAGGGTGCGACAATGTTCAAAGATTTGCAGTGATCTGGTGATCTGGCGATACCCTGTAGGGTTGCGACTGTTCATGAGTAAATCAATGCTGAAAGATGCTGGGCTAAGACATGGCCACCGCCAGTCTCAACGCTGACGAAGAAGATTCGTCTCCTCCCAGCACCTTTGCAAGTCGTTTTCGTCTTCCTCGCAGCCGCAGTGCTACAGTTGCCAGCCCGGGCGATCGAAATGCCAGGCTGAAAACCAAAGCTCTCTCAGCATGGAATAATTTGAGAAATGGTGAGAGAACGCATAGGCCGAGTACTGTTAGAAGTCGATGGCTCTATTGCTAAACACTATCTGTACGATGGTGTTATTTGTTCTTGTTGCTGTGATGACTGACTCAGGATGGGTCATACCCACGCACGTTACAGTGTTTGGACACGATGATCCCATCTGGATTCTTGGCGTTTACTATCATGGAAAGAACTCAGGTAGGCCCAGAGTATTCTGTCACATCGTATCAAGTAAACCTGTGTCCAGGACAGCCAGATTATTATTATTTTTGTGTCAGGTGGGGGGCCACTTCCTCATTGAAATAGATTCTATTTTCTGGAGATTTTTTCTTGAGAATTCAGGAAATTGACAGCAGGCTGTTGCATAAACGTGTTGTGTGTGTGGGTACGCATGGCCGATTCAGTGGTGTGCCCGTGGAATATGATTGTAGCGTTGAGCATTCTTTTATTTTTGACCTTTTGAAAACCCCTTTCATAGTCCTAGGTGAACGCTAAGGTTTTGAATGTAGGCGTGGCATGAATGCAAAATTGCGCATTTACATCAGCAAGACTGCGCAAATCAGAGCGTGCAATTCTGCGTGAGTTTGAGAACGCGTAATTCATTGTCAGCGTCATTTTCGACGAGTCGTGGACGCCAGCGTCTGTGACTGCGGCAGTGCTGCGCTACATCAGTACAGCCGGTGATACTGTCAGTCGACTAATTCTCGGCCCATTCTAATTTCGGCCTCCAAGAGCTAAAACACACACACATACACACACACACACACACACACACACACACACACACACACACACACACACACACACAACACACACACACACACACATTCAGCAGACTTAATTCAACACATTGCCTTGCGCGGCAAACATTTTTATTTCCATGATCGATATGAATGTTGTTGCAATGGCGCAGTGGAAGGCACTGGAGAGGAATTTCAAGCCGTCCGCCATGATTGCCAGACTGAAACTAAGGTGACCTGGACACGCACGGAGGGAAAAGGCAGAGGAATGCGTGTTGAGGCAACAGACGGAGCTTTTGAAACATTCAGCCATTGCATACCACCGATGCGAGCTTATGGCCCGGACACATCGGGAAGTTAACAAGTTGCGGGTTTTGGAAAATTATCCTTGTACAACGACCTTGGACGGCCCGATGGTGTATACGCCGAGGTGGAAATGTGAAGACAGAATCCCTGAACACACACATGCTCTTTACCTGTCCATGTCACGGTTACGTCCACCCCCGTATCCCCGTCTACGACCACGGCCCCGTGGCTGCCTTCTCGTGAAGACATTGTGTGCGTGAATACTGCAGATGAACACACAGCGCAGGACATAAGGGTTGAGCGGTAGTGCACATACGCCACAGCCAATGGCGCGGCACGTTGCACATGCCACGGAACTTACATGTGGCCGTGGTAACAGTGTGTGGGAGTGAACGCGTGGCATCGCCAAGGTGCCCAGCGTCATCGTCTGCGTCCATGCTGTCGCCGCTGCTGCTCTGCCTCGTGCCCGCGCTCCTGCTGCGAGGCCGGCGCGAGATAGAGAGGAGATGGAACTCCGACACAGAACAGAACAGTCATGCAATGCATACGCAGACATGCATACGCAGACACACCAGCCAAGGGGCACAATCTCGAGAGTAACACATTTCCATTGATCCTACTAGTTTCGGCCTCGTTAGGCCTCGTCAGAGAAGCTGCTGCTGGGGGCCCTGCCGATCCTCCTGCACCAACAGGTTAACGTACTGGTGCGTCTGCGCGGCCTGCGGGTGCTCCTGCATCACCATGGTGACGTGGTTGGGCTCGTCATGCTAGGCAACAGGAAGAGATGGCTGGCGCACTTGCCGACCGTTGGTCGCGTCAGGTGCCTGCTGCCGCATCTGCGGGGGTAGCGTCAGCTGTGGAGGGAAGAGGAGGGGAGGTGATGCCGCCGGCTCTGACAGCTCGGGAGATGAGCTGAGCAGCGTCAGCTGCCGTCATCTTTAGTGCCTCTAGGCACTCAATCGTGATGTTAATTTCTGTATTGCAAGAAGCACAAGAAAGCAGGGCACATTCAATTAGCAACAGAATGCATGGCACGTTGAGAGGCATGATGAGTGGACAAGAAATATGCAGTGGCAAGTGCCATGAATGTCAAGTTCTCATTTCTAATTGAGCTATTACGTACAGCCCTGGCATTGCTCGTCGTAATTCCTCCTCGTTCGTCTTCGTCGACTTCTGCAGTTCTCCTTCCCGTCAGGTCGACTTCTGCAGTTCTCCTTCCTGTCAGGTCAGTGCATTCACAATAGCACTTTGCGGTACGGGGGTACCGGAAGGAGTTCGCACGATGTCGCCAAAGGCCTCCTCCCGTACATGCGTAAATCTACGGTGGCAGAGACCGCGTACCGTGTGTTCGGTGTTGGGTCCGCCATCTTCCAACACACGTCGCCACAGCGGTCACACGTTGCTGCACGCACTGTTCCTAATTTGCTGTTACCGAATGGCACTGGCACAAAGCAGACCGGTGACGGGGTCACGTGTCAACAAAGTATCAACAACGTGTCGACCACGTGTATAGCGGTACACTCAGCGGTACACTAATTCTCGTGTCATTCTCGTGCCACCAAACTGGAACATCGAGCGCCAGTATGGAAAGGCTTCAGACAGAAAGCCTTTCCAATGTACTGCATGATTGTGCCCTTATTCACTAGACTTTACGCTTTGCCCGTGTATGTAGGATGGCCCAAACTAAATTTCAACTACTATATTTGGCAGGAATGGGATTTTCAACATTTCCGTGGGGAAGGGACAAAGGATCTTGCTGGTATGTAGTGTTCTGAGTGACTGGACAGTGTGCAATGATCGAATGTCCCCAAAAGGCGACGATTATTGAAGGACTCTCTCTCTCTCTCTCTCTCTCTCTCTCTCTCTCTCTCTCTCTCTCTCTCTCTCTCTCTGTCTCTCTCTCTCTGTCTCTCTGTCTCTCTCTCTCTCTCTCTCTCTCTCTCTCTCTCTCTCTCTATCTGTCTCTCTCTCTCTCTCTGTCTCTCTGTCTCTCTCTCTCTCTGTCTGTCTGTCTCTCTCTCTATCTATCTATCTATCTATCTCTCTGTCTCTCTCTCTCTCTCTCTGCTGCAGTTCCACGGCGACGTACACGGCCGACTAGTTCACTCGACAGCAGGCCACCGCCAAGCAACACTGCGCCGCACATCCAGGACTTCCTTGCCGACTTCCAATCACGCTTCTGGATGACCTATCGCCGTGGCTTTCCACAGATGGCTGACTCCGACCTGACAACAGACTGTGGCTGGGGATGCATGCTGCGCAGTGGCCAGATGATCCTGGCACAGTCGCTCATTTGCTTCTTGTTAGGACGAGGTACGCCTTGCTTGTGTTTGTGCACCGTCACGGGGGCTCTGTACTGTGCGAAACATTCATGGTTTTTGGGCTAGGTGCATACCGTGGAGTATTTGTGTCGCCTCCATTAAAACTCTCCGAGTCGGTATTTGTGATCGAGAACACATGCAGCATTGACTCCTTTGTGCGCAGTGGCTTTCAACCTCAAGACTTAATCTGTGTCGAGGTACACAATGGGGTCATTTTTGTTTGTTCCAAAGTTCATCAGTACATTTGCAGTGCTACTATGTCTGCATGGCGCCGTAAAAGTCTAATGTGTAGGCTCAGTACAAGTACTGTTGTACACAGTTGGGTGCAGGTGTTCTCACTCTAGACTACTGCACTGTATACTGTAAAACGAGAAACGTTCGCTATTTCGCTATTTTCGCGACCATCACACATTCGCGAATATAAAACGCCGCAAACCCCTCCGTACATTGATTGTAGACAGTACAAGATCCGACTGAAGAGATAGAATCGCACAAGTTTCTCATCGTAAACCAGCCCAATTTATGAAAACGCTAAATTTGCGCGCCGCGAAAGTTTGTCGCTTTACAGTACTCGGAAATATTCGTCTGGAATTTAATTTCGTCTTTTCGTCAAAGGAGCTTTAGGACTAGATTAAGAATGCCGGACTATTCGATTTGTCCAGCTTTTCAATACACTCTTGTGATCCGTAGACGAAGCTGCGAAGCATGGGAGTCTGATTTCCCCTGGCTTGAATTGTAGTATTGTTCTGCACTGTGTTGGTGTGACTGTGGTTAAGTGTGGGTGCAATACTACACTTGTGTGTGCATGGCTAACCAATGCTGTATTTTCTGTTGTCTTTTGTAGCATGGCGTATTCACTGCCAGCTGCCGGAGCAGAAAGAAACAGAGCGCATGGTGAGTGAGCGCTACCATCAGTGACTAATCATCAAGGATCTACATTTGAGAATAATAATGTTGACTCCCCTCATAGGTATTGTGAGAGCAGCACCGTGCAGTGTGTGTAGTTGCTCTCCACGCTTTGGTATTGCGTGCACTTCTTGGTCTGGTCACCATTTGTCTTCACTGTTAGGTGGCGTATGCAGCAGGACTGGACCCATTGCGCAATGACGTAATTTGTACCATAAACACCCTTCACAGCCACCTGTGCATGGTCGTCTGGGGTGTTGAACAGTGCATTCCTGATCCCAGCGTACTCACACAAGCATTACTCATACATTCCATATTTGGCAATGCGCAATGGGTCAATTGTTGGCACCCTGGCTACTGTTTTGGGCTCTTGGTGCTTTCCTGGCCCAGGACCTTGGGGATACAGGATAATGACGGACTTTGGTTATCTTGCTGCAATAGATGATATGCCAAATAGTGTGCAACTAGACTTGGTAGGGCATTGAACACCAGTTGCATACTGATGATATATGCTACAGTGTGTACATGGTAGGCCCTCAGCTATACAGGAGCACAAGCCACAGGTAACCGTACACCTTTGAACTTTGTATGCAACTACTCTGCAATGCCCTCCTTCTCCCCCCCCCCCCCCCCCCCCCCCCCCCCAGTCTACAGTTGGCTGTTGCACGTTATTCGACGTATTATCTATGGTAGGTCCGTTGGTCAGTGTGTAATGTGCTTGTCCTCGGTGCCTGGCTATTTGCTTGGTTTATCATTGTCAGATCATGCGCTGGTTCACGGACATCCACCAGGAGTGCAGTCCGTTCTCCATCCACACTCTCGTCGACCTGAGCCGGCCGCGCGGCCGTGTGGCTGGACAGTGGTACGGGCCAGCCCTGGTGTCCTATCTACTGCGGTGAGTCTTGAGCTCTGCCTGCCCACTAGCTCTGGGTATTCCCAGTGAATGCTGCAGAAACAAACACATGCACTGGAGTTGAAGGCAGCCAAAGATCATGGACTTTTGGTTTTGGACCAGGTTGAGTGAATGTTGCATTGCTACTGTGGGAGCTACAGGTTATCCTGAGAACTTTGATGCTCCACTGTAGTTAACAGCCAACCCGCAACACATGAACAGTCATTGGTATCACCACGGGTTATGCTTTTATTCATGTTCTTGGACTTTTCTTGCAACATGGTAGCGTCCTGGCATGAGCGCATGCTCCTATGTCTATGTGGAGTCAGTGTCATCATGCTGTGAGCGTCTTGTTCTTCTTGCGTTGACCTGTATGCATTGGCTTGAGCTATTTGACTGCCTGCCTCTTCTCTACGTACATCATAGCCAGTGAAGATGCCCCCTTAGATTCATGTGGTTAGTCTTCCAAATTTCAGGGATTCAAAATAGGCTATTTTCCACTCCTGTTGGCCACAAATTACTGCCTTCCTGAATCTCTTTCTCCTGTGTATGTGCACGCGTGTGTGTGTGTGTGTGTGTGTGTGTTTGTTTGTTTGTGTCTTTCGCAATCTCTCTCTTTCTCTTTCTCTCTGTTGTATTTCTACCATGCAGAGATGCAGTGGAGGGTGCACGGAAATACGAGGACAGCTTACGGGGCTTCAAAGTCTACGTCGCCCAGGACTGCACAGGTAGGGAGACGTTTTTCTTGTTAAAATCCTCAGATGAAGCTCAAAACTGGCCAGACAGCCGTATGCAACCCTCACCATGCCTTCCAAGCTTCTGCCTGGCGGGCCGTTCTCTAGTAGTTTGGGGTGGTGCACTTTTGAGCACCTGTATGTTCTTGACCTTCCTACACAGCTGTGGGTCGTAAATAAATGTTTGCGTTGTCCCAGCGGTGTCCCCATCTGGCTGTGTGAATTGCCTGCGGATGTGCTGCCTGCACACGTGGACATAGTTACAACGCAGTGCCGCGTGTGGTTTGTTGAAACACCCATTGAACCACTGGCCGCCAGCTGCTCATTCAGTGTACTGCAACTTGTATGGCATGCAGTACACTGAACAGCTGTGGAGTGATACTTGCATTTAGCGAGAATCACCCCATGATCTGCAAGGAACTGGCCTTCATTTCCAGGCGGTGTTTAAACACAGGCTCTAGTTGCTGAAGTCTGCTGCTGTTGCTGCGGTGCCGGCTGCTGCTGCACATTGTTAACACTGATCTGGTGAACAGCAGACTGTTGGCGCTGCGAACAAATAGCAGTGTTGTGGTGATTCGGCTGATGGCAATGTCGGCATTTCCGTTGCTGGGTGCAGGCAGATGCGACATGGCCTTTGCCAAGACAACGGCAACAGCGATGGAGCTCAAGGAGCCTGTCCTTCTGAGCTGAGGTTGTTGTAAACCTCCCGCAGGCATCGTGGTTGTGGGCACCACCACAGAACACACACGGCTTCCGTGGCCGAGCGGGTGCGGACGTAGCAGCTTGCGGCCTACGGAACGTTGCGCCAGAAGTGGCCACACGTGTACTGGACGGCAGCATATCCACTGGAGCGGTGCTTTGCTGCTGGCCAGAGCGTTGTTGTGCCCGGTCGTGTGCAGAAGTACGTACCGTTTCAGGTATTGACGGAGGTCTTCTATGTCCCACGGTACTGAGACGTCATTGGAGGGTCGCCACTCCTCGAGCTTCGTTGTTACACTCAGCGGAAGCTTTGATAGTACCTGGTGGCATACAAGGCGTTGACCTTTCAGTACCTCCCCTTGGGCCTCCAAATGCAGGAGAATGTTCTCCAGAGCCTCACATGTAGTTTTGATATCCGCATAGCGTGTGGAGGACTGAGCTATATTCTGTAGGCGACTGTATAGCTGAGCAATGACGATATCAGGCTTGCCATACTCGGCCTTTAGGGTGTTGACAGCAGTCTGGTAATTTGCGTCGGTCACTGCGATGCCTGAGACCAGACGGGCGGCAGGACCTTTCAGCACACTGCGCAGATACGTAAACTTTGACACCTGGGGTAACTGCTGTGTGTCTATTGCAGCTGAAAACATATCCCAAAAGTCGGGCCATGCAAGAATATCACCATGAAAAGTCGGCAGTGTGAGCTTAGGGAGCTGCACGGGTGTCCGACCAAGAGTGCGATGTAGTGTGTTCGAGGAGGTGTCCATCTGCCATGTGGCCTCCACAGCAGCACGTGCGGCATGACTGGCAGCCTGGAAGACTGCAGCAACAAACATGGCAGAGCCTGGAACAACCGAGGGTGCGTGGAACGAGAAGTTAGTAGGGGTGGACTCAGCATCTGACCATACAGACTCACTGTCAGAAGTGTATCCTCCGCTGCTCCATGGAGTCTGTGCACGACTAGTGGCACTACCAGGTGTAGGCTCAGGCAAGTCGGGTGGAGGTGGTGGTGGTGGTGGTGGTGGCACTACTGGTGTGTACTGCACTGTGCTTAGTGAACCAGTATGGTGAGTAGGATCATGGGTATTTGCAATTGCACTGACTGCTGTGTGTGCTTGACTAGCAGTACCAGTGGCATTTGGCAAGCTGTCCATCATACCAGTACAGGCAGGCGTGCTGCTAGCAAGATGATTAGCGTGTTGAGAAACTGAGAGCTTCTCCGAAACAGGATGCTCAGCCTGCATGTGTTTACTACTATTAGCACTACAGATCACACTCTGAGAACTCCTGCTTTCACTGGGCACTGGTTGCTGTAGCAGGGAGGGCGCGCGTTTCTCTAAAAACGCCCTCGCTGCTCTCAAAATGTCCACCTCCTCATCGAAGGCCGACTCCCAAGAGTTTAGATCGTCTAGTTTCTCTTTGTTTGCGTCGAGCTCGACGAGGCTACGTATTTGTGATTGGAGGTCGTTTATGTGAGACGCTAGTTCTGCCGCTGTCTGCCAGTCGCCCAGCACGTAGTGTGGGGATGTCTCCTCCTTGTGGAGTTCCCTCGCCAGCTTTTCCCTGACGCGTGTGAGGCGACGCTTCATGTTGGCCCGGCGCTGGACCATTTGAGTGTACAGTCAGACCTCGCTTAACCGCACACATCGGTTTTCCACAAAAACATCCGGATAGGCGAGGTAACCGGATAACTGAACACACATACTGTATATGCATGTGGCATGTCAAAAGCAGTGACATCATACATACATGTAGACAGGTCCTATGCAGTACAACTAGCGTGCCCAGTATGTAAAACAAGCGAGAAAAGAAACTGAGTGCTGCCCGCATACACCCAGCAGGTCAAGGGCCTCATTTGCTTGTACAACTCCCTGATACTAGCTTCTGCAAGCGCTAGCCAATAGCCAGCCACATGCAACCGGATACGACGAAGCTTTTTGTACACATTTTAACCAGTTTGTACACAAAATCATGCACCGGTATGCGGATCGCGAGGTCCGGTTATGTTGTATGCATAACATATGCTGCACATCGGTAACCAGCGATTTTCTTCCGGATGGCGAGGGATCCGGATAAACGAGGACCGGATAAACGAGGTCTGACTGTACATGCTGCCTGCATGACGACGAGTGTCGGAAAAACGACGGGAAAACTGCGTTGCGGACAGGTAACCGTCACCTGGTTACAGCACCATGTCAAAATCTTATCGTTTTGATGTATGGAAACCTTTGCAACCATGCACACACTTACACTACTACAACACAAGCACAAGCCACCATTGTCCTTTCATCAACTACACTTCAGTCAACAAGAACAAGAACCCATACCAAGGAGACACAAACAACGGAGAAAAGAGCTGAGACGCACAATGAGTACGCTCCGAAAACGGCGGTGTTCGGAAGCAAGCGTACCTGGCGAGGCCAAATAAATCGCGACGCAGCGCACCCAGATCAGACCCATTCGGGCCTGAGCTGCGTAGCGATCGCGTGGTCAGGTGCACTGTGGTGCCATGGAAACAAAGATGGTGGCGCATGGAGCGCTTGTACCACGAGGTAGAAAGAAAGGAAAATAAATAAATAAACTGCAGAACGAAAGTGAACGCGAAGAAGAAATAAATTTGAGAGTCGTTAGAGAAACAAGAATGTAGTTCGCGTCTGGCGGAGGGTGCTTGCACCTAGCTAGAGGTGAGAGCAGCATTGTCAGATAATGGAAAAACTGAGTTAGAAAAGGAGAAAGGCGACGGAGTTGCAGACTGAAACTACCTGAGGAATTTCAAGTAAGATGTGAACACTAAATTTATATGTACTGAAGTATTTCTAATATTCATGAACGGCAGTTCTCGACAAGGGATCTCTTTTCCTGGTACAGTACAATTGCTATACTAGTATGCAGAACCAGGCCCAGGAAGTCTTGAGTTGGTCTGTGAGAGTGTGGGACTTCTTCAGCACGCACTTTTAAGATAACGTATCGATTTTGTTTGATGGCATGCATTATTATTTCAGTTGAAATACGGTAGCACTCGGTTAAATCTGGCCCAGAATGCGCATTTGGCGCCCTCAAATTACACGGCCCTTGCCGCCCTGGAAGTGGCACAAATGCGGCTGGACGTACACATGTACAAATACAATGATGTAATCAGAACTGTTCCAGGGTGTTGGTTTTACACTTTGGGTCGGGTTTCACCGAGCACAGCTGTACTTTAGTTAGTGACGAAAAGAGGGTTCTATTCATTGCTAATGGCACTTTACCACATTGTGGGCGAGATGTTTTCTGCAAGTGCTATGTTTTCGGACACTAGCAAACGTCCATTGTAACGTTAGCTGTACCTTATGATGACATGTGTTGCTTGTGTTCTGTGTTTCTTCCATTTTCTGGCACACTCAGTTTACAAAGGTGATTTGGTGGACATGATGGACAAGTACCGGGAGGAAACAGGAGAGTCGCGGGACTGCTCCGTTCTGCTTCTAGTGCCTGTGCGCCTGGGCGGCGAGACGCTCAACTCGGTGTACTTTCCTTGCTTGCGGGTAAGCCTACGGTGTTTCTTTCTGATCAGATCTTGTGAGGTGCGCATTGCATGGCCCCCAAGTGGGTGCAGCTGCCTGCGCTTTCTCTATAGCTGTGATGATAATTTCACATCATGTGACTTGGGGTTTAGATATTTACCTTGGTCGCGTGACCGAACAGTGCGAAGCCTCCACTAGTGAGTCAGGTTTGGGTACAGTGTCCTGGCTATCATCTCCATGATGATAACATGTACATGGGCATGTGGCCTTGGTGTACTGGCTTATCGGTGTGAAATCCTGTCAGCACGAACCCCATGGACTACAGCGCCACGGTTGCACAGCACACTCTTGGGGTGATGTACTCTTGATGTAACATTTACTTACTGCACGATTCTACTTACATGTACTTGCATCATCTGCGTCAGGCTCGATCTAGACATTAGAGAGGTTAAGATGCACGTTATTTCTGACGTGACGCGAAAGTTCAGCTCGCGTTATTTGCTCGCACGTCGAAAAATCAACGCGAGCGACCTGCTGCTCACGTCGAAATTTGGAGTTTTACGCCAAATTCGACGTGAAATTGCGCGTCACGTCGGAAATAACGTGCATCTTAACCTCTCTACTAGCACATCTACAACAGGGTATTGTCTTTAGACTTTTTAGAGCATTCTGCTATCATTGTTTGTGTGTGTATGTGTGTTGGTGACTTGTCATGTTATGTCCTGTAGGGTTTGCTGACGCTAGATCACTGTGTTGGCGTCATCGGTGGCCGTCCTAAACACTCGCTCTTTTTCATAGGATGGCAAGGTATGGGGTTCTGCGCAGTATCCATGGAATGAGTGCTAGCTCGGTTTTTTGCCCCCCCCCCCCTGATCGTATGCAACATTGACTTGACTGGTGTGCATACATGGGGTTTTTTCTTGCCAGACTGAGTCCTCTGTTGGTGTCACTGCTTTTTGTTTGTATGGTAACTTATAGACTATAGCATTGCTGCACTTAGAGTGTCGGTCAGTTATCCAAAAGCAACAGAATAGATGGCAAATACCCAGTGAAATTCCGTACTGTGTGGATTTATTTTTGTCTGCGCGTGTGCTGTGCCTGCAGGCGAGGATCTGGTCTATTTGGATCCGCATTGTTGCCAGGAAGTTGTGGACACAACAGATCCCAATTTCCCGACAGATGTGAGTTCTCTATCTATCTCTCTCTCTCTCTCTCTCTCTCTCTCTCTCTCTCTCTCTCTCTCTCTCTCTCTCTCTCTCTCTCTCTCTCTCTCTCTCTCTCTCTCTCTCTCTTCTTTCTCTCTCTCACACACATGCACACTTCTCGCACACTTCTCTCACAGTCACACTCACTCAGACGAATATCTACACTCGTGCGCATGCGTCCATCATTGCAAATAACATTGTCATGGCAGCAACCTGTTGTGTAGCCTTGGTCTATTTTGAGATCATTTTGTCTTCTGGTGCGTGTTGTCTAACAGAGTTTCCACTGCAAGTCGCCCAGAAAGCTGGCGCTGACTCGAATGGACCCTTCCTGTACGATAGGCTTCTTTGTACGCGATCGACATGACTTTGAATATCTACACTCGTGCGCATGCGTCCATCATTGCAAATAACATTGTCATGGCAGCAACCTGTTGTGTAGCCTTGGTCTATTTTGAGATCATTTTGTCTTCTGGTGCGTGTTGTCTAACAGAGTTTCCACTGCAAGTCGCCCAGAAAGCTGGCGCTGACTCGAATGGACCCTTCCTGTACGATAGGCTTCTTTGTACGCGATCGACATGACTTTGACCTGTGCTGTAAAAGTGTTGAGGAGGTAGGTGAAGCGACTGCAGCGAGTCTGTGTCTCTACGCGTTTGCTTTGCTGGCCTGGTCGCCAGTTAGTACTTCAGTAAAGCAGAGAATTGCTTGTATGGCTATAAGTTTTTAAAGTGTATGTGTGTGTGTGTGTTTGTGTTTTTGTGTGTGCCAGTGGGAGGGAGACAGACAGACAGGCATTTCTCTTTATGTAATACTGTAAGACCGGAACGTCTAACGAATGACAAAGTCTAACGTTTTAACGACCAATTTTTTTCGTTGCTTGAAAAAAACGTTATCGCGAACCCGGTTTGAGATGTCTATGTTAGTGGCTTAGTGCGCATACAGATGGGTGGCCAGGTAGCCATCGTTATACTTTCAGCACGTTATCATGCCAAAATTAGAAAATTTTTTAAAACGTTTTGGTCGTTATACTTTCCAGTTTGACAGTGATTAGCACCCTCTCCGTAATCTGCCAGTACAGCACCGTTCTGGTGAAGACATGGATTTGTTGAAGTGCTAGCTGCAGTAGCCATCATGCACGTGCATATACATGTAGTAAATCAACGTGTGCATGCGTGTTGCTGTGTGTGTGTGTGTGCGTGTACGGTTGTGTGCGTACATGTGTGTGTACATGTGTGTGTACATGTGTGTGTGTGTGTGTGTACATGTGTGTGTGTGTGTGTGTGTGTGTGTGTGTGTGTGTGTGTGTGTGTGCGTGCGTGCATGTGTGTGCGTGTTCTGTGTTCTGTGTTCCGTATTGCTATTTTCTGTATAGATGCTGTCACCTCCGATGCAGCAAGGTAACTACCCGTTCTTCACGTTCTCCGACTCGCGGAGCATGGAGTGCAGCGAAGCAGCAGAGAATATGGACCAGGCTGTTGATGGTGGCGGTACTGACTATCCAACAGCTGACGGCCATCAGGTCATGTCAACTTTCAGTGTGATTCCGCCGAAGAGGGCGGCCAATGTCAGTGGCCCCTTGTCGCGTATTGAGGTCGAGCCAGTGCTGGTGCCACCACCCGATCATGTTGTTGATGATTTTGTCGTGTTGGACGTCCCGTCATCGTCCACTTCCTCTATGTCGCCCAGTCCGGATGTTCCCGATCTACCTGTCAGCTAATGTCCGTCTTGTCCGTAACGTTGTCAGTGTGTTGTCCCTGATGGCCGTGTTGTTCTCGTTGTCTCTTCTTGCTGCACATTAGCTGATCGTAGTGAGTTTTTGTTTTGTTTTTAATTCGCTGCCTGTATATAGCCGCTGGTTGCTGCTGTTTTGCTTTTGCACATAGCTTCTTGCGTGTATTTGTGTGTGTGTGTGTGTGTGTGTGTGTGTGTGTGTGTGTGTGTGTGTGTGTGTGTGTGTGTGTGTGTGTGTGTGTGGTGTATGCGTGTGCGTGCGTGTCGCTGCTGTTGCGCTGGACTGTGGATTTTTTTGCACAACTCTCGCTCTTTGCCTGTGATGCTTGCCTGCTGTTGGCTCTGTGCGGTTGTGTGTGAAGTGCTTTTTTCTCTGGTGTCTTGCTAGAATGTGAGAGTAACTCGCTGCAGTTGATCAGCAGTTCCTTTTCTTATTTCTTATTTGCTGTCTTGGAAATCGTCGTATTTTGTTAAAGCCCTATGCAGAGTGCCTCGTTGGGAAGGAGCATGTTTATTAATTTAGATTTTTGATGTCGTCCGCTTTGAAAGATTTATTTTATCTATTATTGTACCTGCCGGCAACGTCACCTGTACCTTGGCATGCTCTTTGCCATTTTTAAACCTCTAGTTGGCTTTCTTTATTAGGTTTTGTTGAGATTAATTAACCTGCTGATTGCAGCACAGTCCATTCTATTGATCTTCCTCTCTGTCATGGACTATTCCTTTAGAAAATGATGCAACAAAGTGATTCTTCGCTCTGCTGAATGTATACACTGTTTTCTTCTTTTTTCTGCTCGTTAGTTGGCGATCTAGGCCGTTCTAGCACTTTTAGGACATATTTTCTTGTCTTGTCTCTTTGGCACGCCTGTTCATTTGAGTGACCTGTGCTTCTATCTGTGGAGATTTGCCAAGTGTTAAAAGTTACAACCGTGTGTGTGTGTGTGTGTATCAATCTGTCGGATGGCTACCTTCTTGCCAAAGCATTTGGAAGTTGGACTAGTTTCGGCTCCACAAGCCAGTGTGTCGTTACTATACTAGCTTTCATGGCTGAGGTTGTTGGTATGTCTGCTGGCTCTGGGTTCCCAGTACTCAGTAGCCGAGGCTGGTTGGTAAAGTAACTCCGATTTCACTTCAAGGTACCAGTGCATCTAGTGTCTGCTTCTTTCAAAGCAGCGTGCTGTCTATACTGGTTACCCCAGCAAGTGTAGGGTGTGCATAGGTACCGGTAACTGTCTTGGCCGTTTTATGCCGATGGCGATGTACTCCGTGTGGTGTACATGTAATGGTGTAGACCAGGTGTGCATTGGTGGTCGATTCACATGGCTTCGCCAGTTGTGTGGATTAGACAGTTATCTGGCGCAAGTCTTCTCATTCAGATCTTGTTCGCTATCGTTGCTACAAGAGAAAATCTGTGGGTGCACATCCAGTGGGGACCGTCATAATTTTCTAGTCCACCCGTAGGGGGGGGGGGGGGGGGGGGGGGGTTGTCACTTGTCAGCAGTTGAGCGGTCCAATAGCCGATTGAGTCATCTTTCCAAGATTTCTGACATGTAATACATGTAATCGTTATAATAGCGTGCCTAGATGGCAAATCCAGCGCCAAGCAGTCTGCAGTGAGAGTGCATAAGGTACTACTATCAGGAAGAGAATGCTCTTGCATTGACAATAGCAAGCACGCAAGAATGCATCTTGGGATTATAGTAAGTTTGAATATCTATCTACTCAACCATTTCTATTCCAGATACGATATGAAAAGAAAACAGTAAAGTTACGTACGCTGGACATCAGAACGGACAAGGAGTTTGTTATGATTGGCTCGCGACTTTACAAATAATGTTCTCAAGTTCATCATGCAGCACACGGCCATGCACCATGCTGGAGTGCATGCCTACGGAGAATCATCTTCAGTACGCTGTGTGTGTGTTTGTGTGTGTGTGTGTGTGTGTGTGTGTGTGTGTGTGTGTGTGTGTGTGTGTGTGTGTGTGTGTGTGTGTGTGTGTGCACCAGGCTGAATAGTGGCGGTCAATTCTTCAGCCTTGCAAGCTGTTGAATGGTGCAATCCAAGCACAAGCTGCTATGGCTTCTGCTGTAGCATCGCTATCATCGCCTCCGGCGATGGGCATCCAATGGTCCAATGGTGTGTGTGTGTGTGTGTGTGTGTGTGTGTGTGTGTGTGTGTGTGCCTGTCTGTTTGGCGTCATGCCAGCTACAACAGTGGAGACCAGGTTCACTAGGAATGCATTAGACAAAACCGTTTGAGGAACTGACATGCAGCATTAATGGCAAACTTTGCATAATCACCATGTAACGTCGAATGTCACAGTGGGGTATCCGATGTCCCAAACAGAACGAAATGAGCCCGGCAGCAAGTCAGCTGTGTCACTTGTCTGCATTGAGCATGCATTGCTGTAGCGGATGCTCGGATCCAGCCCCATGAGGATAGCACTCTCAGTCAGGATGGCACAGTCTGGATCAGGATGGCACAGTCTGGATCAGGATGGCACAGTCTGGATCGGGTTGGCACAGTCTGGATGAGGTCAGCCATGAGCGCCAGGCTATTGCATACTTACTATCTAGGAGGTGAGACGAATCTAAAGGTTTTCGTAGCTCATCTTACCACGTCCCTTGAATGGTGCACGACACGGAGACAGGATGAAGGCCATGCCATCCTGGAGACAAAGAAATTGAAACGGATTACATCCCAATGAGCGAGCATGGCGGGCATGAATTCAGAGCGAGCATCGATGCACATTCGGGGGCTGCATGATGCACATTCGGGGCTGCATGATGCACATTCGGGGCTGCATGATGCTATTTAGCTACTGCTACAAAATGCAGAGGTGTGAGTGAACTTCCCATGGCAGTCAGTACATGGGTGGTTGATCCCGTTGGATGTGTTGGTCATTGGCACATGCCTCCCTTGACGGAGAGCGACCAAAACGTGATAGAGGATCTCCCGTCTAATTCCCATTCTTCACGACATATTGCCATGGCCTGCTTACAGACATGTACATGAACAACTGTACCCACGTGCAATACGAGTACATGTACACCGGGGAGGGGCATTGGACGGCGTTTTAGGAAGGTTTTCCCCAGTGCGAGGCAAAGTGCAATTTACTCTGTTGGTTGTGTGTGTGTGTGTGGGGGGGGGGGGGGGGGGGGGGGGTGCTCCGCTGAAAGTTTTTGTGAGCCCAAATCAGCGTATTTTATTGATTCAGGGTGTGTCCGGGCAAAGAGTGGTACGCTCAATATCGCCATTTAGTGACCGTAGCGTGTCCGACATCCTCAGTGTGTACATGGGCGGCTTACACTTGGGCTAGGTTAAGGACTGTGTAGACGCAAGTATTAGCACATATCATGTGTGAATGCCGCATGCCAACATGTACACGCACATGTACACTCACCGTTACTAACTCCGGCACGGTCATCCACATGTCACGATTGGGCACTATCTCCCAGCCCGTTGCTCCCCGCGCCAGCTTCTGATACAGCCCTCCAGCGACTAGATACACCACGGCCAATGAGATTACCCTGTCCAGCAACATAGAAGTTAGATGCGTGTACTTCACTCATGAAAACACGATCCGATGATAGAAAAGTCTTCACATCAATTAGTCGGTTACCAGTCACATAGCATTTGTAGTCTGCTCAGCCGAGTATAAGGCTGTTGCAGTGCTGTCACTGTCCGCCTTTGCATGCATACTGACATAGTCCTGCATAACATTCACCAAAACTGGCAGTCCTCGGCTCTGCTCAGGCCCCACCGCAGGCTGTATGCTCTACAGTGCACGATGCCGGGAGCACTGTGTCGCTGGTAACGATCGGTATCTCAGGGCCGGCGCCTCTGGTGCGGCCATGGCCGTCCCAACTTCCCAAAAAGTCGGTCCACGTGGAACGTCCAAAACCGGGGAGAAATTGTGTCGATGTATGATGTTGAACAGGGAGTCGTAAAATACGGACTACCCTGTCGATGCAGTGCCAGTGCAGTGCACACTACAGTGGGCAGTAGCACTGTATTCTGCATTGGAATACTAGTATCAGACTTGCAAGTTGTACTGAACATAAGATGCACCGAAATGCGCCCAGAGTGCAGGATTTGCCGTCTAAATTCCCCAAATTTTTTGCGGGAGTGCCCCCAGACCCCCTTACAAATGGGCCTTCAGCCGCACCGCTCCGTGGCACCTGCCTCCGGCCCTGTGTCTACATGACATTGTACAAAGATAGGTGGCTATATTCTGTTAGCTACCCTGAGTATGGGCTAAATGATTCTTTGAGCCGCTAGCTGAATGATGCACATACACTACAGCCAATCTGGTGAATAACGGCGCTCGATCAAAATGTGTCGTCATTCGCGAGTTGGTGTTATTCGGGCAGGGCCATAGCCGCGTGACCCAGTCCAGCAGGTCAGCCATGGCCGGACCGTATTTGGAAAAGGTTGACCCACCCAATTCAGCCCCAAAATGGTGTTTTTCATCACTGATAATAATGTTCATATCTGGTCACTGAGTACAGTCAACTTCGCTAATAACGACTGCGGATATAACGACAATTCGCGAATAACGACATAATTTTCATGCCCAGAGCAAAGTCCCGTCCAACTGTGACACATATAATGAGACTTCGGGTATAACGACACTTCGCGAATAAGGACACTTTTCTGCTGCCCCGCCGCCGAGTGTCGTTATAAGCGAAGTTCACTGTATCCCGTTTGGCCGGAAAACACTGAAGCACCGATGCTGCGGCCCCGGCTGTCGTGACGTTGAAAGCATGCAGTCACATGGTCACTAGTTTGAAGTGTCGTTATTCGTGAGTTGTTGTCATATCGAGGTTGGTATTCACTGAGGCATGACTGTACTTACAAAATGAGGATAATGCTACCAGCAGATAGTCCACCGCCACCATTACCACCAGTGGTCGGCACGGCAACCAAGCACACGTCACGGCTGGTCACGATGAAGTTCTGCAGGGCAGGGCGACGCCACATCACAGAGAACAGTAGTAGCCGTGATAGTGATATTAGTGACATTGAGGAGTTGACAGCAGTAACGTGATGACACCCATGCAGAGGCAATGGCCGCAAAGCACCATTCAAATACTGAACTGACACGTGTTGCACTCGGCAGGTTGTACGCACATACATGTACATAGATTGAGGTGTACACAGAGGGGTGCCGGGGTATATATGCAGCGTATCAGTTCAACGTCGTGTACTAACGGGTAGTCTGAACTCTGAAGTCACTTGACGGATATAAAAGCAACAAGCGGCAAATAGGAGAGATGGTGGACCAATAGTACAGTCAGGCCTCGCTTATCCGGTCCTCTCGCTTATCCGGTCCTCTTTTATCCGGATCCCTCGCCATCCGGAAGAAAATAGCTGGTTACAGATTTACAGCATACGTAATGCATCCAACATAACTGGTGTTCGGATATCCGGTTCCCGCGCCTATCTGGATATTTTTGTGGAAAACGGATGTGTGCGCTTAAGCGAGGTCTGACTGTACCCTAAGTACTGTAAATATACAAAATTTCGGTGCTGCAAAATTTCGGCACTTCACGATTTTTGACATTTCGGCGGCGATTTATTTTCGGCGTGGGGTAGAGGGCATGGTATAGTGCGACATATACTGTGAAAAATTTCATCGGCGTTTTAATTTAGGCGTTTTGGGTCGGTGCCGAATATAGCCGAAATTAAATAGCTGCCGAAAATTTGTATATTTACAGTATACATATCTAAAACTCTTTTAAAAAGTGCTGGCCACGTCCACAGTAACGTTATAAGCCTGGGCTGTTCATGCCCGTACAGTACAAGGGCCAGAGCGTGTTGCATGCATGTTCAGCACACGTACTCATACACGTACTCATACACGTACTCTTACACGTACTCATCCACGTACAGTGCGGATCGGCTATAGCGTTGGTGTTTGATTTTCGTGAAAATATCACTATAGGCGATATATTACTATAGGCGATATCAAGAGTACATAACCCCCCAGAGTGTGCAACGCCTGATCCAGCTCTGTGTAGGGTCTTGGTCGAGCGGAATCGGATCTTCTGATGTCATGCGTACACTTCACACCAGCGCAAGGCCGGTCTCGAGGCAGGGCACCATTGTTTTTGATCCAAGAGTACCCGCGACTCCCCGGGTTCCCCTCAGATGTGTACGGTATTATGACGCAAAGATCCGATTTCGCTCGACCAAGACCCTACACAGAGCTGGATCAGGCGTTGCACACTCTGGGGGGTTATGTACTCTTGGCGATATGCATACTTAGGTATGCCTGACAAATGCGTGTATGGTGTCATTCGAATCAGTGCAGCGTGCAGAAGCGTGCTGTGCATGTGACTGTGCAATACGCGCAGTGCAGAGCTACTTCCTGCGGAAACAAAAACTTCGTGACTTTTTGACATGAGTTTTCAAGGAATGTGTTCTTCTGGAAGAGAAACACTTCAACACATTCAATCGACATATCAACAATATCTACAGGATCGATTAGTGGGAGTAGAGTCTCAGTCTGGGTCGCCATCGCTCGACTCATCACCGCTGAAACCGTTCCAAGTGGCAGGTCGATCGACGCGTGATATCGTATGTCACGGAGAAGCTTCTCCGCGTCCCTGATCGTCTTCGCTGTTACCTGAATGCCTTCTCCAACATCTCGGCGGAGACCACGGTAGCGCTTCAGTGCTGGTACTCATTACTGCCTCCGATCTCGCTCGAGGATGCCCCGAAACAACAAGCACAGCCAACGCCAAACATTTCGAATTTTCTCCGAGGGATATCATAGTCGTACCAGCGCTTCCTGACTACCGCGATCAGATCTCGCCATGTTCGATGTATACTTTTTATGATCATCACTATAGCCGAGGACAAATGTATGCAATAAGATCATTTTGACACAGAAATCGTATCATTATAGCCAATATATTACTATTTATAGGTTAGTGCATGGCAGGGAGGGCCTTATGGCTTGTTAGTGCCCGACAGGTTAGCCTGAGGGCCGTAGGCCCGAGGGCTACCCTGAAGGGCACAAACAAGCCATAAGACCCTCCCTGCCATGCACTAACTATTTTAGAACGAGGTTACATGCATTATCTCACTTCCATTATGCTTGTGTACCACTATATTGGGTAGTTTTGTGGTTTGTGTGCAGAGAGACTTGGTGTGGTATGAAAGAATATTTTCTTCTGGTAAGTTATGGTAACTCAGCACCACTTAGGACTACTAAAAGTAGAATGGAAGCAAATGAAATGCTGGGCTCTTATTGCGAGCTTCATTCTTATTCATACATGTAGCTTGTGGAGTTATTTAGGGGCTCTGAGAGCCCCTTGTCGATAACTCTAATGACTTTGATCTTCGGTTTTTATAGGTTTCCGCAAGCGGTTGACAAAGAAAATTCGTACAGATGAAAGAATACGGGGGCAAAAACCGTACACACTTCTGAATTGCGTAGCGTTTAGTAGTACACCGTACACGTTATGCAGAGTTCATTATCTGCATCGTACTATTATGCATACAGGGAGTTGTACGCACCAGTTTAGAGTATATTCAGCGGGCTTTAAACTAATCCAAGGCCCTCGACGCGTCATCAAGAGTAGTAAAATAACGATTGAGCGGGCTTTAAACTCTGATAAGGCCCTTGGCGGGAATGTCGCTGATTGGTCGTTTCCTGGACAACGAGACAGACCTCGTTCTAAAGCCGATTATTACTATAGCCGATCCGATATGTATAGAAAGGGGTGGTTTACGAAAATGAATTCGAGAATACGATCACTATAAGAGGTATATTACTATAGCCGACAACCCTATAGCCGATCCGCACTGTACTCATCCACGTACTCATACACGTACTCATACACGTACTCATACACGTAGGTCGGACTCACGTAGTGTTTTGTAGGGTGTTCTCCCACAAAGTCGAATGTGCCGTTGGAGTCCTCGTTGCAGATCAACTTGAACTCACTCGTGCTGAATGGGAACACACATCACACATTAGTTAGAGAGCATAACTAGACTGTTACAAAACTGAGCCCACACTCTACACCTCTACAAGAGGAAGCAACTGTAAAACAGAGAGGTTCCTGGCTGTCCAATAGATTGCTCAATACCGAAAGACGGAGCTAGTTCGAACAATAATACCGGTAAGAGGATGAAAAAAGTGTTTTTACTACTTTTTAGTGCGTGAAACTCGGAGTAAAAACACTTTTTTTCATCCTCTTACTATTGTTTGAGGTAGCAACTGTATTGGCATATTCATGATTCCCAGCACAGGTATACACAGGTACACACAGGTACACACAGGTACACACATACACTCTGGAAGTGGGCAAAAAAGTGGTGACGGGATGGATTTGTCAAGGCTTTGAAATATCAGTATTTGCCCGTAGCAAGTCTTGTTTCTGTTGTGTGGTGCAGCTAGCTATACAGTTCTATTTTTGTTGAGTCCTATTAAACTGGGCCAATACTAGCCCATTATTAGATGACAATCAAGCTAACTTTCAACTGGAATTAACCTGCATCTTAATTAAAGTTCCCCAAGCCAAAGGGATGGGGTAGCAATACCCGGTCCCGGTCACTGGGTAAGGGCGCGTTCAGACTACCGTGAATCCCGTAAAACCGTGAATGCCGATAAACCGTGAAGGGCATTCACACTACCGATAAACTAACGTTACCGGTACGTAAGTTTAGCACCTCTCACCGCGGCGCTGAGAAGGGATTTTCCCTTTTTCCCAGCGTGCATGCAGCCTGAGCACTTTTTTACTGCCGGCAAAATGATTTTTTGCGCACGCGCAAAAATATGTTAACACAGAAGGCGCATGCTCTGTTCCCAACAAACTCTCACACGCTCATTGTTCTCCGAAGTCCACTGTTCCTGACTTCAGTTCTTGCTTTGTCCGCATTGGCAGTGGATTTCTTTCTCAACCTCAATCTCAAGGTTTACCACAGCTCACGGAGATGCCCCGTGCACGTAAGCAGTCGGCTCCCGGGCCCAGGCGTTCCAGTCGCAGGCGCGCCTCGTCGTCCCCGTATGCCGACACTCCAAATCGAGCCCCTGCGGACCATGCGGCCGATCGTTCCGGCAATGCCCGTGCGGATCGTTCCGGCAATGCTCGTGCGGAGCAGGACGATATCCCGTCCGCCGTTCCCCAGCCGGCCAGCTTACTCACAACTGGCCTAGATCCACGTTCCGTTACGGCGGCCGTGTCGACGGCCCTGCACCCCCTGCTGGCTCGAGTCGAGCGCCTTGAGGAGCGAATTTCAGCTCGCCAGGATCCGGACGGCCATGCTCAGGCGGCGGTCCCCTCAGTGGCAGATGTGGTCCAAACCGCGTCCAACACCGTCACCCATCACCCGCCGCAGGTCGACTCCGGCCCCATGGACATTTCCCTCATGCAACCCGCGCTGCCTCCGATCGCAGCGCCCATGGCGAACACTCGTGAGTCCAGCTCTATTGTTCCCACGGTCCCGCGTAAGTTGCTTGACAAAATCACACGCGGCGAATATATTGAGCTGGAGGATCTTCTCCCAGAGAATGTGGGCGCAGGGTCCGAGCCCTTGGAGCTCAGCACCGCCAACGGAGAGGGCCGGCGTGTGTCCCTCAATTTATGTGTGACTAAGAAGCGCTCCATTGTCGACTTCACTGCCTGGCTGGAAGCCTACACAATCTACATGGCCTGCGCACTGAAACATATGCCATTCCGAGCACTGGAGCTGGTGACGTACCAGCACATTATCTGTACTGCCAACCAGCAGTTTGCGACCCCAGCTGTACTGGGGTATGACCGTGCCTTCCGTGCAGCGGTGGCAACAACCTCGGCTCGTTGGGACGCAATCGACCAAAGCCTCTGGAGCCTGCACCTGATCCGGGCACCCCGACCATCATGTCCGCGCTGCACAACGCACCACAGCCGTGACCGTTGCCCACAGTATTTGGCAGGGCCACATGCTCCAGCTGGCACCAACACCAGCCGTTCTACGCAGCCATTTCTGGCCGGGGCGGGCAGCACCCGCCAGATCTGCCTCAACTTCAACCGTGGCCGCCCATGCCAACACCAGCCCTGTGAACGCTTGCACGTCTGCTCAACCTGCGGCGACCGAGGTCATCCCGCCGCTCGCTGCACCAACGACGGTCGCCGGGGACCCCGCCAGACGGACAAGCCCGTCGCAGCGAAGTAGTCTCCCCACGCCTCTGTACATAGCCCGCCTAATGACTCTTCTGCCTCGTATTTCTAATCGTGTCCTCTCTGACTTTATCCTTAATGGCTTGCAACATGGGTTCCCCATTGGCCACTCTGGTGCTTCTGTATCTATCATCTCCGGCAACCTCCCAACTGCCATTGAACATGCTCAGTTTGTACAACAACAAATTGCTGACCGGGTCCGACGTGACGAATCGGCCGGTCCTTTCTCGGTCCAGCCTTTCCACCCATTTGTATGCTCTCCGCTCGGCGTAGTGCCCAAGAACAACGGGAAATTCCGCCTCATTCACCACTTGTCTTACCCTGACCGTATGTCTGTCAATGATGGAATAAACAAGGATTCGTTCTCCCTACATTATGTCACAGTGGACGATGCCATTGAGCGTCTGCAACGTCAAGGTACCGGTGCCTTGATGGCGAAGCTCGACATACGCAATGCATTTCGACTGGTCCCGGTCGCACCCACTGCATACCATTTGTTGGGTTTCCAGTGGCAGGGCCAATTCTACTATGACAAAGTACTGCCATTCGGGCTGAGGTCCGCACCCTACTTGTTTAACTGCATTGCGGACGCACTTTGCCAGATAAGCTGTGAACTGTTCCAGGTTCCCCACCTCCTGCACCTTCTGGACGACTTCTGGCTCTGTGGCCCTGCAAACTCAACGCTATGTGCGCAGCGTCTGAACGTAGTCCTCTCCGTATTCCGCTACCTGGGAGTTCCCATTGCCGACGAAAAGACAGTCGGCCCAACCTCCTGTCTCACCTTCCTGGGCATCGAACTGGACTCCGTCCAGAAAGTGGCTCGTCTCCCACAGGACAAGGTTGACGACATCCGCTCCAGACTATTGGCCTTTCGCCAACGCCAATCCTGCCGTCTACGGGAGCTTGAACAGCTGTTGGGCAAGCTGAACTTTGCCAGCCGCGTCATCACGCCGGGCCGTACATTCATGCGCCGACTGTACGATGCCACGCGCAACGTTTCCAAGCCCTACCACCGCATCCGTCTCTCCCCAGAATGTCATCTGGACCTTCTTTGGTGGTCTCACCTACTCGATGGCTGGAATGGCAAGTCATTCTTCCTCGATCTCCAGGAGACTCTGGCCAGCGACATCCTGATAGAAACTGACGCATCTGGCGCCATTGGGCATGGTGCAGTTTACGGCACGCATTGGTTCGCCGACACCTGGTCACCACAACACACTCCGCTCTGCATTACGTTCAAGGAGCTGTACCCCATCTGCATTGCATGTGCTACGTGGGGCCACCAGTGGTGTCGCAAGCGTATCCGCTTCCATACCGACAACGAAGCTGTCGCCGCTGTTCTCAAGTCTGGCACCAGTCGCTGCCCTAATGTGATGTCACTCCTACGGCAGCTCTTCTTCATCTGCGCCAAGGGTAATTTTATGGTCACCGCCCGTCACATACCGGGAACTACCAACATCCTTGCTGACGCTCTCTCCAGGCAAGATTTCAAGCGATTCCATTCGTGCCACCCTACCGCCGCTCACATGCCCACTCCCGTGCGTGCTCTTCCGTCCATTCCTGGGGAGACTTCGGCCGTGCCTTGCACAGCCGAGTGACGGAAGCCCACATGCAAACTGCCATGAAAGCTGGCAGCACCGGTCCTGGGTAAGCGCTGATCAGACAGACTGAGCCCACTTATTGTGGGTGCCAGAGCATAACCGAATGCCACCTATGTACCGACTGTACACTCAGTAACTCAATATCACTCTACTATTGTCCACAATCTGTGGCACCCCCTCTACAGTTAACAGTGAATAGGAGGTTCTCTATTTGGGGAGTCAACCTTGCTTACCAGGCTCCTCATACGGCTCATTCAGCCTCTCACACTCAGACGGCTCACTCAGCCTCGGCTCACTCAGCCTCTCAATACGGCTCACTCAGCCTCCGCAGCCGGGCCCTGCCCGGCTGCCTCCATACGGCTCACTCAGCCTCCGCAGCAGGGCCCTGCCCAGCTGCCATACACACACATTCACACAGCTCTAAGCTGTCACTCACTCGGAGCCTGGCAAAGCAATTGACAAACCCTCCTATTCCCCAAACTGGTTGCTCGTTGTGTGAGTGCGGCATGCAGATGCTTGTGTTAAATGATTTTTTGCGCACGCGCAAAAATATGTTAACACAGAAGGCGCATGCTCTGTTCCCAACAAACTCTCACACGCTCATTGTTCTCCGAAGTCCACTGTTCCTGACTTCAGTTCTTGCTTTGTCCGCATTGGCAGTGGATTTCTTTCTCAACCCACCCACCCACTCCACTATTGTCATCATCATGTTTCCTATTCTAGTTCTCTCCTGTCGGTATCCATTATCATACCGGCCTACAATAACTACACCGATGCCGTCTACCGGCGAAACTCTGTAAATACATGGAGGGGAGTCAACCTTGCTTACCAGGCTCCTCATACGGCTCATTCAGCCTCTCACACTCAGACGGCTCACTCAGCCTCGGCTCACTCAGCCTCTCAATACGGCTCACTCAGCCTCCGCAGCCGGGCCCTGCCCGGCTGCCTCCATACGGCTCACTCAGCCTCCGCAGCAGGGCCCTGCCCAGCTGCCATACACACACATTCACACAGCTCTAAGCTGTCACTCACTCGGAGCCTGGCAAAGCAATTGACAAACCCTCCTATTCCCCAAACTGGTTGCTCGTTGTGTGAGTGCGGCATGCAGATGCTTGTGTTAAAGTTTACTGCCGCAGCAGTAAAACCTTTCCGCCGGTAACGTGCCAGTAACGTCACGTGATCAAATCACCTTGGCAACTTTTCCATTCCGTCACTTTTTATCGGTAGTCTGAACGCGCCCTAAACACACAACTTACCGTCCTTCAGTGCCGTTCGAGTAGGTGATCGTTGTCACCAGATCCGTGCCGGTTAGGTTTACCGTGAACACTGCCGACGACTCTATGCCAAGAGAGTTCCACGTTGGCGGCTTACCGAACGTTGGACCCTGGCAGGCCTGCACGGGATCAGGGCGATACGCAGCATAACATAAACGGTTTTAAATCAAGATGAAAAAAATTCCGTATTTTCCAGAGTATAACGAAATAGTGGTTGTTACTTCGGCGATGATTGTTAGGAAAGGGTTTGCTCCCCACACTGGAGCTCGCGCTATTCTGCCGACTTGACACTTGACACTTGACTGACTCACGACTGCCATTAGTCAAGTGTCAAGTCGGCAGAATAGCGGGAGCTCCAGTGTGGGGAGCAAACCCTTTCCTAACAATCATCGCCAAAGTCGCAACCACTATTTCGTACTGTTGTGCCCAGTGCGGGCTTGCGACTAGCTGGTTTGGAGGTGACAGCGTTATGAATGACCGATGGTCCTCGACGTCTGTTCTCACCGTCCAGGAGTGACACTGATTCACGCTGCTATTATGATGTTCCCGAGGTGTTTGTCGTGCTGGAAACAGAGCGTCTCTGTAAGTTTGTATCCCTGGTGATGTTTGGACCTGGAGACCACTATAAGTGATGCTCCTCAGGCACAATCTTCCTCAGCCCACTCAAGCTCAACTGATGAGGGGTGAATTCCGCGAAACACTGTGTATTGAGCAGGGAGCGGTGCTTTCTTGGAGGTTTGCAGAGTCGAAGGTTCGATGGACTGCTCGTGTGCTCTGGATGGCAGTCGTGAGTCAGTCAAGTGTCAAGTCAAGTCGGCGGAATAGCGTGAGCTCCAGTGCATACCGGCCAAGTACTTAGAGTGCTTTTTTCTGGATCGCCATGGCAAAATCTCGGGATTTGCCTTGGTTTTTCGGGATGTCATATTTTTTCCAAAAAAATCTTTAAAAAAAACTTTTGATGGCACCATACCAAGGGGATCAAACCCTTTCCTTCCAGAGTAGAAGCCGCACTACAAAACACCAGTAACTAGTAATTGCACATCAGAGGCTCCGCTCCATGTAACACTGTAGTGGCCCTACATTTTTACTGCATAAATAACCAGTTTTCAAAGCATTTTTTTTTTTTTTTTTTTTTTTTCGTTCCTACACCATAACACCCATGCTCGGCCAGTCCTTCCTCGGCCTTGTTTTTACTGCATTTTCTGCGTAGTTTGCATTGCATGCCTCTTCGAGTTTTTCCAAAATATCTCCACGATGGACGCTGTTTTGGATTTGCTGCATACCCTGGCGCAGCCAGAGGTACAATCTGCCATCGCGGCATCCGCCCACTCCCGCGGAAAACAAATAGGAGACACCGTTTCGGGGAACGGTTTACAAATTTCCTCAAATAATTCCGCACCCACGGGCGGATTAGAAACTGGTCGTGGCACCACCGCAGCCTCTGGCGGTCAAGAAATGGAGGAGGCTCGGAACTCTTCCAACAGGGAAGGGAACCAGGATCACTCTCGGGTAGATGGCGGGGAGCCTTTTCGTTTTGTCTCATTGGCCGAACGTCGTTCGGCAAGCCTCGGTTTTTCCACGGACCGCCATTCCAGCAATGGCGGCCGGGGCCGGGGCCATATTAGGGGTGACGTCACTGACGTATCTGGGTCACGTGATTTACGTACAGATAGATCTAGATCATGCTCACGGGACAGATCTCCACCCCACTCACGATCTCCCCCTCGTTATCGTCCTGCTTCATGTGAACGACGTACACGTACTCGCCATAGATCGGCTGGTGCTACACGTACACGTAGATCTAGATCTAGATCTCAATCTGCGGACAGATGTCGGTCAGGGTCACGCTCGGGTGCTACGCACGAGTCCCGCCTGAGTGCCCGGGGACGACATGGCCATGGGTCACCCAGACGGCGCGAGTCGCACCGTTTCACCAGGCACCGAGATAGTTCTGGCACTAGTTCTAGCTCTGGTACGTCAGAATCTGACGATAGTGACTCCGACAGTCCTAGTGGCACATGTCCGTCATCCGACGACTCGGCTGCCCAAGAGCATCGCCGTGGTAGCGGCGCGGGCTTCGATCCTAAGGGGTTAGTGGACGACTCTGTATGGTCTCCCCCCTCGCACATGGCCTCGTACCTACGGGAGCACTGCCGTGGTTCCCTGTCCTTCGCTGAGCGTCGACGGGTGCGGAAACTGTGTCCCCGACCGGACGTGGAGGAAACGCGATGTCCACGCGTGGACCCGTTCTTGGCGGATGTCCAGGGCCTGGCCAACGCCAAGAGAGCGGATAGAATGCTGGCCAACATCCAACAAAAGGTTACGGACGTTTTCCGTCCCCTGGCCGCGCTCTGGGCTGCTATTGAGCAGGGCCGGCCGGTCCACGAACTGACCGAGCTGGTCCAGATGGCGATCGTCATGACGGGCGACGCCTCGAATGTATTGTCGGAGACACGCCGTCAGCGCCTCATGGCAGCGCTGCCAAAGAGATGCCCGAAGAGCCTGCTGCAGGGCTTGCGTCCTTCCGGTGATCTCCTCTTCGGTGATGGATTTTCCCGGGAGTATAAACGGAAGTGCCAGGAAATGGACGTATTCCAGCCACGGCCTTCTGGGCGGCGCCCGGGGACCGCACAGGACCGGTCGCAGCCTGCCCGTCCTGACCGTTTTTCTGGTCGTACCGTGTACCGGTCAGATCCAGGGCGGTTCCGCCCTTACGACAGGGCAGGACGGGGTCATGTCACCCGCCGGCCTGAGGAGCATTTCCGCCAGCCAGCAAAAAACGGCCGGGGCCAGCCCTTTCGCGGGCGCCCTCGAGGTCGTTGACGACCTCCCCCGTGCCTGGCTGCCTCACGGAAGCCCCTACCCCCCAGGTAGCGGGCCGATTGGAGCATTTTGCGGCAGCCTGGCGAGACCTAACGCAGGATGCGTGGGTGTTGAAGACCGTCTCAGGGTACTGCTTAGACCTCCACACCATTCCTTGCCAGCGGTCCGCTCCGACAGAGATGTGGTTCCCTCCCGAAAAATGCGCAATCGTCCACCAGGAGATAGAGGATCTCCTATCCAAGGGTGCAATTCGACCGGTGAGCCCATCTCCCGGCCAGTTCGTGAGCCGGTTATTCACCGTACCCAAGAAGGGTACCACCGCCGAACGTCCAGTCATCGACCTCCGCCACCTGAACGAGCACGTGCGGTACGAGCACTTCCAGATGGAGGGTCTCCACCTTGTTCCCCTATCCGTCCGAGAGGGCAATTGGCTCACAAAGCTAGACCTCAAGGACGCGTACTTCACCGTGCCGATCCATCCCCAGCACCGCCGGCTCCTGCGCTTCAGTTGGGAGGGCCAACTCTACGAGTTTCAGTGCCTACCGTTCGGCCTGTCCAGCGCCCCCCGGGTATTCACGAAGCTGATGAAGGTCCCGATCAGTGTTCTTCGTCGTCAGGGCATTCGTCTCATCCTGTATCTCGACGACCTTCTCCTGATTGCCGAGTCACGGCCGGCCGCCGTGCTGCAGACGCAGCAGGCCATTCAACTCCTAGAATCTCTGGGTTTCGTAATCAATCGGAAGAAGTCCATTCCTGAGCCTACGCAACAGCTCGAGTTCCTAGGATTTCAGTTGAACTCTGTGGCCATGACGATGTCGGTGCCGATCGACAAGGCGCGGAAACTCCAGCAGGAGTGCCACCGAGCCCTGTCCCAGCCCTACCTGTCCATCCGCGCATTGGCCTCACTCCTGGGCAGGATGGTTGCGTGCTCCCCAGGCATGTTTCTGGCTCCACTGCAATGGGGCTGTTAAGTGATGACGTCACAGTTCCTTCGATACGCATAGCAACGATCCCACTGGGGACAAACAAAAGTAGCGTCGTCTCCACCGAACCAGTTGTCAGTGGCAACATATAGGAATCGTGTACATTTCTTCGTTTCTTCTTTGCTGTTTTCAGTGAGTGTTTTGTTTTCTCTTTGTCCTTGATCTCGACGGCGTTGTCGTGCTCATTACCTTACTGAGACGTCTCTTGTGACTGTAGCCAGTGTCACGGAGGATTTTATTGGCGTGACGAGGTAGATCGCCGAGATCGAGCGTGAAAAACGCTCTGCATTAGTAGCTCCTGTAGAATGTCTTCTGGGATGGCGTATCCATGGTCAACAAAGCCAAGGTGCAAGACAGCATAAGAGATCGTGTAAACGATGTGAACTCCAAAAGGTAAGCTCCTGAACAAGTGGAAAGATATGTGTATTTACAAACTCTCTCTTCATCCATCGATTGCCGCTATGCATTGCATTTTGTCTTCACAGATAATCTGGACAAATAAATTATATTGTAACTGGAGAGTGCAATCGTGCTTGGGACCCATCCCAATGTCATCACATGGCTGTGGTGACTAGTGTATACCTGGGAGAATTTTTCCTCAACTGAGACGGAGTGTAGATGGATGGATTATGAGAAATGCGAAGATGTGGAGTAAGTTGTGTCGAAGAAATGTGTAATAAAATAAAATTTACTTTACACTCAAACATACACTGTACATGTACATGTAACATCATGATAATGATTCCATCTTCATTATCTCCGCAACAGGTACGCCATACGCACCGAATACATGGTGTGTGTGCACGTGCGCGCTTGCGTGCGCGCGTACATGCACACACTCTCATGCGTGGCCGAGTTGGCCGGATGAACAGACCACGCATTTGCACGAGGTGTCCGTCATGTCATTGGAGTGCTGTACTTTATGACTCAGGGGCGTAGGAGGGGTTTTGGAAGTGGTACCACCGAAGGTCGGTGCGGCGGAAGGCCGTGTTGGAGGGGGTCCGGACCCCCCCCCCCCCGGGAACTTCTGGCGCAGTGTGCAGTCGAGTCGAGTACAGTACTCAGTACGACTGCAGATGCATAACAGATCTACGAGTCTAGAAAAAGGTCTGATGCGCATATGCAAATATCGATGGATCCTGATTTTTTTATTACGGTTTTGCACGTTCCAGACGGACCACACTTTTCGAAAAGTGGTGCGGCCATGGTCGTACCAGTCGTAGCGGGTGCTACGCCCCTGTGACTTTATTCCAAAATAGTATGTCGTGCCCCTGTCAAATGGAGTTTGTGTCTATGCTCAGCGGGTATCGGGC